CCGATGAACTTCTCGAAGGCAGTACCCTTGCACACCGCACAAATTCACAGCTCCTCTGAGTCACAATCAAAGCCTTGAAAATGGGCTACCCAAATTCAGGCAAGGAAATCGAAAGGCGGCCGCACCTATTTCTGGCTGGGACTGCTTAACCTGAATCACTGATCCTGGCCTTGAGGTTTTGGCTGTGGACTTCACAGGTTGGCGACAACTCATGCCTCAGACCCGCTCGCATTGCTGAGCTGAGCTGCAATGCGCAGAGTGCAGCCGCGTTGCTGGATTGTGGTGTGGGTGATGCCCCACTCCTGAGTGTCACTACCCAGCTTCAGCATATAGCGTGAAACCGTTTGCTGCCTACGCGTGGAGGGGCGACACTGAAACTGCAAGCAGATTGCCGACAAAGCTACATTTGTAGTATATATTCATCTATATAGAGAAGCTGCTGTCAAGCTTCCGACAGCTTTGCCAGCAGCTCGTCTTTGGAGAGTGCCATTTCTTCCCGCTATTTGCTAGAAGTCCGCTATGCCTGCTGAAAGGTCGTGTCAGTGGTTGCTGTTTGCCACAGGTTCAGAAGCAGCTCAGTCACTTGAACCCATGCTGCAGCGGCAAGACAGCATCGCCAAAAAATACCAATAGGGCTCATAGATCACCGCCTCAAATGATCAACACACTACTTGAGGTCCAGGCAAATGTTGAAGGTGAAGCAGTTGGCACCTGAGGAATCAAACCTCGCAGCTTCTTGTGCTGAGGTTGGCCCATAGTGAACATCACATCTTTGGAGTTGGCAACATGTGCCAATGTTTAAGTGCGGCACGCCCACTGGTACAGCGTGTAGCGAAGTTGTGGGCGTCATACTGCCAGCAACAACCTTGGCAATGTTTTGATGCAGTGCGTCCAATGTCAGGATGAGCAAGCAAGGATGATTCAACACGCCAATAGCATGCATGGGATCTTTGGTTGTCTCTTTGCAACACCTAGGAGGGTAGTGCCAGTGGCATTGATATGAACGTGCTGCTGTCCCGAAAAATTGCGCCCTTATTCCCTGGATGTCTCTCCCAGCCCGTTGCTTCATGTGACTGGAGTGCTTCATGCTGAGATGGGCACGACGGGCCGCGAGGGTGTCGAGGGTGCTGAGGGTGCTGAGGGCGTGCAGCTTCCTGCCTCACCAGCCGGCCAAGCGATTCCCAGCCAGCCGTGCCCAGCCAGCCTTGGCCGGTGAGGGAAGCTCCTGAGCCTTGTGCGCTTCACGGTATCCTTTCTTTTCTTCGCAGATTCTTTGCTTCAGGGAAGGTCGGACAAGGTCTATCCGGGCTTCCCACGTTTGGCGCGCGCGGCGACCACGTCTGCCGAGTTGATACGAAGCCTGGCACGCGTGACGATGCCCTGTGCGAGGCCATACCCAAAGTCCTGCACCAGACAGAAGGGGCGAGGCCTCGCTCGCTCGCTTGAGGCATTTTGTCTGCGAATCATTGGGGGTTCCAATTGGCTGTGGGTCAAAACAGTCCTCTGGTGGTTCAACTTTGACCCAAACCCAATTCTCCACCGGTCCATCTCTTTGATTCCCCTCTAATCATTTGCCAAGCTTCCCTTTCTATTTCAAGGAATGCTCAGCTAGTGTCCGGAGGCACCACACGAGGTGACCACGTCTGCCGGGAGGGCTGGCTCCATGAACCTTCAAAGCTGATAGCACAGACATGGCCCACATGGCGCTTCTGTACACTCCAGGCCTCCAGCTGCCTGACACGTGAGGAATTCATTAGGTCTGTTATGCGTACACTCGAGCTGCGGCCCATGCCTGCCCGAGCTCGTGCTTCCTGCAACGTCACTAGGGCAGCCCATTGCATCTCGGTTTGCAACGCCAGCTTTGCCCCAGCTTTTGCAGGCAAGCAGCTGCGATCCAGGTGAGCTCAGTCCTTGCCAAAAAAGGTCAGTTCTGCATTGCATTTGGAATGCTTGACCAAGCCTGACTTGCTTGGCACCTGCACAAGAGCAGACATTGAGACCCAAAGTGCAGCTAGTTGCTTGCGTATAATGTCAATTGCGGGTACATTCTCCAAGCCTCGGGTTGCGCAATGCGGGTGGAGCCTGGCAGGCCGCACAATCACTGCGAACCCCCTTTCAGCCAGCTGGACCCACAGGAGAAGCTCGAGTCCTGCGTGCACTGCATCCAACTGGCAGAGACTCACAATGAAACACATCGAAAGCCTTGTAGCAGGTGAGGCTGCCGCAAACACCGGGGCCTGGCTGAGATGCTGTAGCTCTTGAGAGATTTCGCATCATGCCTTCACCAGGTGCGACATGCCTTGCGGCAATGGCGCGTAAGCTGCCAACGCCCCAAGACCTTCGCTTGGCGAGACCTGGGGAAAACAGGTTGCACATACCGTCAGGTTGCGCTATACTCGCTGTCTGAGACCTGAGATGCTAGCTGAGGGGCCTGTCAGGTCTGGCAAAGTCCAACCAACTTGCACATATCCGCCAGTGCCTGTGCACGGACATGCTGTCAGCGCTGCGGACACCTGCCAGGGATCTTGGGACTCCGAGACTCAGATGGCACGCGGCATAATTCACAGTATAACTCAGAATGACAATACAACTATAATAGACAACGCTTCTCCCGAAGAATCAATACAAAACGGTTGGGCACCGTGGAATCCAGTAATAAGAGTAGGTTATGCACTTACATGTTCTGGAGTCGACATGTAGAAGGAGAGACGCGAGGCGGGGAGGGAAAGGAGAAAAAAAACGGAAGCGTCCCCTTCTCTAGTAATAATAATGAGAATGTTGCACTGCCTCCATGCTGCCAAGCGACGTCTTGTTTTGATGCGATGATACTGCGAGCAGCTTCTGACAGGCTTGGGCCCTCTGAGGCCTGGTGCAGGTGCCATCGTACCACAGGAAATCCAAAACACGTGGTTCAACGTCGCGAATTCTGGAGCTGAGGCATGCTAAGGCGATGGCTGCTGACTGGATGGCTAGCGCTTCTGTGGAATGGCAGGTGCTCCCTCCCTGCGACTGCTGTTCATGCAGCGTCAGGCTGATGACCTCCACCGAAGTTCCCGCCATGCTCTCCTCTGAGGAGAGCCCTTGATGTGCCGACTCGACTTCGCCGCAAGTGCTTTGCTGCGTGTCAGGTTGATTCGCGTCGAGCTTGGCCTCAGCGATGTCTCCATGCGGTGCACGTCGCGAATCTGCCCAGGTGACTGGTTGGGCATCCGGAACTGGGACGTTCTCCTCTAGCCTCCCAAGGACTCAGGTTCTCTCGTCTGGCTGAACCCATGCAGAAGCACCAAGCTCGCAGCCTGGGAGTTGCCTCCATCGAGTGTCACAAGTCTGCTTTCCGCAAATAGCTCGCAGCTCCTGCCTTCTCCGACGCATTTGGAGACGGAGTGACGCTAACCTCTGCTGCGCTGCTGAGCTCTGCCGATATCCGGTCACAAAGGTCTGGACGGGCCGTACCTTTCTGGCAGTCCTGAAAGACAAACATTTGTCACATTCTGGCTTGCCGTGCACCCCGAGCCAGTCCCATCAGTCCCGCTTGAGACGCTTGGCGTCCTTGGTGAGGCTGATTTTCCTGAAACCCGCTGGCATGAATGGCAAGTAGATGGCAGAGGCAGCAGTCAACAAGAAAAGTAGTGTAATATATATATATAATAACAAGTGCTTGCACGCCCATGCCTGGTGGTCCGCTCCAGAACGCACTCGCCTGTGCAAGTGGCCGATGTGAATCTGGAGTCAGAAGTGGTCTGACGGCGGCAGTAATGCATCAAAGTGGCTGGAATGCCGCTTTCATGCGGAGCCTGTCAGACATCTAGGCTGGAATTGTGGGCAAATACTAGCTGCTTGCCTGGGCATTTGAACGTGTCTCACGGGGTGAAGTTCCTGGGAAGTCAGTTTGACTGCGCAACCAGCTCACACGCTGCGCATGTTGGAACCCACCCTCCGACTTTCCAACTTGGATATGCAACGCATGAGACCCTGCCTGCTCGTGCATCTCGGGGTGAGGTCGGCCTGCAACTTTGCTGTCCAGCTGGTGCACCCCAGGTTCCCAAGTGAGTACTCACAATACCACTTCTGACGCCTTGAAGTAGCTGACCGTATCCTTTGGCTACCAGCGCCTTCAACTCAGCTGGATCCATTCGTTCCGCAGGACGCGTGGCTTGCACTGTCGCTGCGGGATTGATTGCTTCAACCTTTTCCACGCCTGCCATTCGCACTTCTTGCAGCCATGGCAGGCAAAGTGTCAGATCGCGGAGACCAAGATGTCTCTCCGTGGAAGTTCTGATGCAAAATTGAAGAGTTATGGGCTCCGCTGGTCTGTGCAAGATAAGTATTGCTCACTGCAGTGGGGGTTACAGTTTACAGGTTGTGCTTGAATCCATCTCCATATGCGCCTGGAGCATCTGCAACATGCGTTGAACTGATACCGCTGGGATGTGAAGCAACTCAAGTGCTGCATTGCTGCGGCATAGGTTCAGTGCCATGGTGAACAGCGATGCAGCAGTCTGAGCCCAACACCAAACACATCCACAAACTCGTATTCATCAGGAAGACCTACCTGCACTGTGTAATCTAGCACAGCTCGCTCCAAAGTCCAAAGTCCAAAGATGTGAGGGGTGAATCACTTGAAGTATCAAGCTTTCTGCATGCCTTCCTTGCAAAGTCATTCAGCATGTCGGGATTCGACTCGAGCGGCACCTTCGCTAGATGTGGCCAGCCAAGCGACGAAGCATGTCTGTGCCCCACCCAGTGTACTCGCCGGATCTTCTCCATGTCAACCTCTGCCATGCTGCCTCACGCATCAATCATATCAATTTGTCACAGGAAATCACAGGAAGCAAACCACTCGATCCACTAGTTTCTTTGCTCCGGCCTTCACAACTTCCTAGTAGAGGGCAGGTGAGTACGTAGCACGTAGATGGAACCAATCACATGTCTGCGGCTAGGAATGCTGTTTTATCGACCGCTTGCCCTGCTGTCAAAGCTCTGCACTTGAGCCCACGCAAGATGGATACACAATTGGCTGATGAAGATAATTCCTGCGCTCTGCGTCAAGCCTGGCACGGCGCAAAGATTTGCGAATGTCACTTGGCGCAACGCCTGCAGACTTCTGCATGATCTGCGGAGGTGAAACGGGCACCGCGGACCTCGTGAGGTGCCCAATGCTACACATGCGACGCACGCACCCGCTACAGAAGGTCTGCCATGAGAGAGGCCGGGATCGGAGTCACAGATTTCACCTTGGCAACTTCAGTCGAGTGGGCAAGAACGCACCACTCACTCGGCTGATCCGAGAAATGCGAGCCCCTTGCAATGCCTGAACAACAGTCCCTCAACTCCCGTAGATTTCTTGCGTCCAAGCAACAGGGGTTGTCCGCTGCCTCTTGGCCTGCGCGCTTGCGGCAGGGCATCTAGCTCAATTGGCTGAAGAGCAAAATTGGGATCCTATTCCAAGCGAGATCTCTACTTCACACGTAGCACACGTAGCACACATACCCAAGGCCTCTCTTCCCTCCGAAGCTCCGATCTTCAGACGGCCGCCGCGCTGAGCCATCCTCTGCGCCCGTTGCAGAAGCCTCAGCTCAAGAGATTGGCCGCGGCTGTCGCAACTGTCAAATGTGAATCCATTCGGCATCGACTCAACATATCAACATATCCAAACAATGTTGAGGACGAAAGATCAATCTCAAACGCTGTGCCAAGCCTCATAACACTAATGCGTGCTATCACATTGAGCAAAGCAGCTGTCCAATGGGCGACATGGGTGTTACCTTCGAGGCAACTGAGGCCGGGGTGGTCCGCACCGAGGGAGTCGCCGAGTTGGGTGTTAGCCCCAGTGCTTTCAGCCTTTCCTACAAGAGTCTCTCTCATGTCGTGCCGAGTCATGCCCAATCGAACCATAAATGCGCACTTGGCAAACCCTCCAAAATCTGTTGGCACAAGAATGCATGTGTCGCCCTTCGCAAGTATGGGTGGGAATTTTAGTGAGGGGCCCTCTGGTGGACATCATTTAGGTGAGGATTCATGTCCACCAACCAGTTTTCAGGAGGTTCCCCATTAAAATTCATAGCCACCAACGCCGTTTATGCTCAGAGCGCCTTCTTGGAGTTTTGCTTGGACTCCCGCTGCCTTTGCATGGCTCCTTTGGCCAGCTTCTCCGCAGCTCGATCCCTCGCGGATTCCTCCTGCACTCGGAAGGAAGGACCGGCTTCCTCCTCCAACACCCGGGGAGTAGAAGCCTCGGGCTGTGTTTTTCAAACGCATGGCGTCTGTTTTGACATGCCGTGCTCCAGCGCGTAATAAAGCTCACTCCTGTAAACAGGGGATGTACAACTTTACAGGCAAAAGAAAAGCATTGACAACGAAGCCACGCTGATGGCGTTGGCTTGTGAACACTGCTTTTTCTCCGAGACACAATCTTTCCAAATGTCATCAATGGTGAGAAACCATTCTCACCGGGAAGGAATGCCGGAGTGTTGACCATGGGAAAAGACGGTCCCCCCAAAGGTGTCTGCAATCTTCCACCAACTGCTCGCACATGGCCGTAGTTGTGCAGGGAGGCGATCGAAAATGTGCCATCCTTCACCATTTTCGCCAAGACCTCTGATAACTTCTGGCCATTCTCACGCGCCTGGCGCGCAGCAAGAGCGGCCATCAAAGTCTCGTCCAAATCTGATTGCTCTTGCGTTGTGAAACGCGTGTTTCTGGACTCCACAAGTGGCTTGTCCATGGGGATCTGAGACTCGCCTCGGGGCTTGAAGTAGAAGGTATTCCTTGCCTGAAACTCGCAGGTCATAATAGCACCGGTGCTGCAGGCCTCTTCCTTCTGAAACTCCAAAGACAGCTGCTTGCACGTTGTGTTATGCTTCTCTTCCGAGTTCTCGACCCACCATTCCTTCTGTCTGCGCCGTTCCTTGTCTCTGTCCAAAACAGCTTCAAAGGAGGCGTTATCTTCTGATGTAAACACTTGCTGAAACTGATCCAAACGGACTGTTGAAAGGTCCACCAGGACCTCGCGACCGCTGGTGAGTCGCAGCAAAACCTGCTGATGGTTGGCCATGCTCATGAGATTCCCGCTGACGACACTTTCTGCATCGTCTCTTTCCCATGCACTCAGTCGTGCAGCAGCTGCGTTGGCTGCGGCCATGGGGGTGGATGGGTTCGGTGTCTCGGCCTGCGGCGTCCTTGGCGTCTGTCCTGGAGTCGGTCTGGGCATGTCCAGCAGCTTCTTCTCCAATGCCCTGACGAGGGCCGTGTCACCGCGAAGTCGAGCTTGCATCAGCTCATACCGAGCTCGCAAATGAGGCAGGTCTGGAAAGAAGTCTCTCTCAATGAGGGCCTCAGCACTTCCATGTCGAGACATGTTCTGATTGCACAAACGCAATGTGAACATATCGCACTTGTCGCACCAATTTACCTGTCCGTTATCGCGTGTGTCAAGTTCCATGTACTTTCATCAGACCATCGCGTTGCAGTGACGGAGCAACACGCGCAAACAGGAACCACACACGTTCAAATCTCCAAACTCAGTCAAAGGGAAGGCTCCAAGCCTGCCGGACCTGGATATAGCTACCTTCATGAAAACACCACACTTATCATAAAGCTGTTCCGACATTGCCAAATATGTTCCTTTGCGTACTCACGTTCCCTGCCAGCCGCAAGGGACCGCACACGTGGGCGCGCGCAGCGAACTGGGTGGACTCACTTCCACATCGCTGGCGGGTCAACAATATCAAACACACGCAACATAGCTGTGCTAGATGGATGCATTTTGTCACATAACTTCATATTTGAGGGATTCTAGCCGAAAGATCCGCCATGAGTTTCATTGCCTTTGCGCCTTTCTTTGTGCATTCATGTCAAACCGTCACCTGCCAATCTTCAAAGTGCAACTGCTGCGCTTGCCTTACCAAAAAACTAAATGCGGACGCAATCGGATGCTTTTGGATCTGAGAGCAACGCAGAGACTGCTTCAACATAGTCCTCCTCCTGGAGAGCTCGCGACGGAATCGCTCTTGATGGGTAAGGATGCGGGGCCTGGTGCCGAAGCGCAAGATGCACGTTGGGCAAATCGCCGCCAAAGAACGGATGCAAAGCGCCTGCCTTGACAATCAAATTCTGCTCATCTTGTCCAGCATCTGCAGGCTTTCTCCTTTGAGCGAAACATGTACGCCAATGGTTCAACCAATCCAAGGACATGCACCAGAGCGGAAGAGGTTGAAATCAAGCTTGCAATCATTGTGCACACGTTGAAGTTGTTTCCGCCCTCCATGCTGCACTTTCCATGACAGCTTGCCAAGTGACTTCAGCTGAGACTTCTGACTGTCTGCCTGAGAAAAGAGATGACTCGTGGTACGTTTGCTTGCCGGTCGCCATTGCTTACACTACCATGTGTGTCATAATTTCTCTTCCACAAAATCGAGCAAATGCCTTTGCAATCCACACATCCTTGCCCTTTAGCGAGGTGTCCACCAGGTTGAGACAGCTTGCTGCGTTCTTCTCATTCTTATCCTTGACAATCTTCGCGACATCCAAGAGCTGAGCTTCTGCCATGCATGTGGTGCCTCACAGGAGCCGAACACCGCACCAACATGATCGGTGTCAAGAAACGGGCGACCTGCGCAGGCAAAGAAGAGCTGCGTCCGTGAGCCGAAAGGAAGAGGCCAGCAACGGCATGACTGGAAAGGCAGTTGTGGCTGTGTTGACACTCTGGAGTGGGGACTGGGACATGCAACTTGTTTTGTCTCTGAATTCACCAATTAATGGTGAAGCGCCACGATTTTCGTGGATGACGGTGAAACTAAACCGGGCAATAGAGAGCAAAAGAAAGCTCCACGGAAATACGCTATCCATTCAACATGGCATTGAAGCGCTCGTCCTCGACAGCTGAAACTCACAGCTCACATATGCAACAAGCAGAATTCCCTGCTCCATTTGCCCTGCGAAAGGCGTCCTGCTCTTTCAACTTGTCCTCGAACTGATCCATCAGCCTGGCCAGGGTCTGGCAACAAGGAATACTGCGTACTCACAGCACTCGAGGCAGTGGGAAGTTGCAGATGAAGCCCACGCCTTTTGACTCCTTCCTCAACCCGCTGCTTGATCAGTGCGGCACGCTCGTCCTGTTGAAAAGTCGACGGTCGTCCCTTAATTCTCTTGATTTGTTTGCACTCGCGAGCCTGGGGCCCTTGCCTCGGGCTCCTCTCTATTTTGGATGCGGCGCATTTCCGCCTCAGCCTGCTCCTGCTCGGACGGCCTCAGCCACAAAGTCCAGTGAGTGCGTGTGCACCGGTCATTATGGTCCAGTGATTACGCACTTCACTGGTTTGGGTGCGCTGACATAGTCTGCCTATCAAATATTCCGGGTAGTCGCGCCGTATAGTCAGACGAGACGTGTGCAAACCCTGCGCATGTTAAAGCCTTCCAACAGGACTACTTGAACCTGCAGCCAGACAAAAGATCCATCTCGCACGACCAGGCCTGAATAAATGCGCCAACTCAGGTTGCAAGGTAGGATCAACCTCAGGCAAGACAATGTGACTGGCCCATAAAATCCCAACGAGACATAGTGTCATGCTTCCCATGTCCCCCCACCTCAGACTCTGCAGACATTGGCAGGGCTTCAATCATCAAAGGCTTCGCTCCTGAGCATCTAGAATGCTCATCGCTCCCACTCCAACAGGATGAAACTAAGTAACTTAAGTATGTTGGTGTCATTCTTGTTGAACCAAACATATTGCCAGTATCTCGCGATTTACAGCTTGTCCCGGCCTCCTAGCGGCTCACCTACCCTCAGGCAAACGTCGCAATGCGTCATGAAGGCATAGATGTAGAGCCTGGCCATGGCAACTTGGCAGGTTGGAAAGGTCTTGGCACGCCTGTAGTGCCGAAAGAACGAGTTCGTCGCGTACCTCTGAAGTTGGATAGTTGCTTGTAATGTATGATCAGGGATTCATGTTCTATCCGGGCACTCGACGATGGACTTCACATCATCAAAGGAAAAAATGCCGACACTCCTGGGCCTTGAAGATGCAACTGTCAAACTCGGTATAGGTTACTGATGCTGCAAACGCTGAGGCTGCTTCGGACGCTCAACCGCATGCTTCAGGAGCGAGTCCTCCACGGCAAAACACCGCTTCGGGTCAAGCATGCTGGCTTACAAGGCGAGGGCTGTGCCCACACTCCCAATTGTCGTCTACAGGTCAAGACCGATGTCATACTTCGAGCCCGATCATATCTGGCGAATTAGGTCGAGCCTCTGGCCACAACAGCTATGTTTCGAGGCGCAAGTCCTGAAAGAGCTGGAAGGAGTCTTCCGGCTCCAGGCGGAGTCGAACAGAATCCTTCCAAAGCAGGGATACGGCAAGGAGACTTTGACCCGGGCTCCTCTAGCAGAATCTTCATGACCGAAAGGAGTGTGGAGGTTTTCTCCGGCGGGAAGGCTTTTGACCTGCTCGGAGCTTCAAGGTCAAGGTCAGGCAAAGGTACAAGGCATTGCACAAGCGCAATTCACACGCATTCGAGCGAAACTGCAACTTTTTGAAGCGGGGATGGAGGTTGGAAGCTGCTGGGGTCATACACGGGGCTTGCTTGTCGGACCATGCGACATCCACGGCTCGTTGCAAGGAATAGTCGGAAATGCGCGTGGTCAAAGAGTTCATGCCCACCCACTGCAACACCAAAAGCACATGGCCCAGTGGCCCAATGCATGGTGAGACTTGGAAACCTTCTGGGATCGCATTCACATACCATGAATGCCCCTCAGCTTGATTGTCTTGTGGTGCATGGCTTGAGAGGGCTGCACATCTGTGACTGCGACTCTCTGGACATAGTGAAACTCGCACCGGATGGAAGGTGGGGCAGGGCTGCCAGCATCTGACTTGTGTCAATAGAGTCCCATCCAGTGACACCAGGCAAATACAGGATATGGGTCAAATAGAGGACCTAGGTGACAAGAAGCCAATCTGATCCCAAGAGACCCTGCAAGTTGGAGTCACAGTTCTGCGGCTCGCAGCTGCAACATCTGCGCTGAGCTGTTCGTTCAATCAGTCTATCAAACGCACTGAGGTCCCAGCATTGCCAGGCTCAAATGACCGCCCTGGGAACAACAAGAATCCAAGCAATTGAAGATGCGGGGGCAGACAACGATTTGCCATCAAGAGCCAAGCTCCAAAAACGCTCAGAACTCATGGTCTTTGCGCCTGCGACAGTGTGTCTACATGCGGCCACGACCTTAGCGCACGGAGCATACGTGAGGCTGAGCTGAGGAGGAAATCTTAGCGCCGATCTGGAGAGTCCATGCCCTCTGCCAGCTCCTTCCACCCACAAAGGACTGGACCATAAGGCCGGAAGCAGGTTGATGCATTACGCGTTGCTACGGAGGCTCTCCCATTGTCTGCTTCCCCCAGACAATAAGCCTGAAGCCCTGAAAAACGGTGGTACAGGCGACCGCAGAATCTGGCACACCTGAATGAGTGTCCGAGGGTGCTGTCAAAAACAGGTGTGAAGGCCGTAGAAAGTAATAACGACTCAACGTATTGGCCATGCCCACTCTTTGCCGATCTCTGGTCCTGCAAGGGGCTATGGATATGAGAACAATACATAGCATTTCGTCCACTGTCCACCAACTCTTTCGAACTACCACGTGATTCCTTGCTAGCACACAACTTCAAGAACCATGAAATAACTAGCAGTAGTTATTTAAAAAAAAGAGAGTCAATGAATGAGCTGACATGTGATCACTAGATTATCTTGAACACATTGGGGTGATGCCTCATGCCACGTAGACTGTGATGCGCCGCGCCAAATCCTGCGCTTTTGGGTGTGTTTTTGTGTGCTGTTGGTGACAATCTATGTAGCTAACGTCTGATTCAATGATATACCCAGGGCCAAGCTGCTCAGCTTTGCATGCGATTCTACGTGGAGCTTATATTGTAAATATGTGTATATATAATATATGTGTATATATATATATATATTATTTATATATATATATATATAGAGAGAGAGAGAGATGCATTCCATATCTCTATGCACCCTTCCGTAGACTTAAAACATGCAATCCACTGTGAATAATGTCAGTTTATGTACTCCTCTGACACAACAGTTCAACTCAAAGCCACAAGGGCGGGCCACTAACTGAGAAGTCGGTCTGGCTCGGGTACCATAAGTTCACTTGGCTCTTCGCATTCTCCCCATTCGCGCTCCAACTACGGGGCATGTACGAGCATCCGTGCTTCACAGTTTCCTCGGTTTGGAGCGGCACAGGGTCCCAGGCATGTGAGGGTAAGCTCCTGTGAAGTTCAGCGGAAATATGTTTTGGTCAATGCTGTTGGCAATACTGCTTCATCCACTATATTTGGGGTATGTGCTGTTTGGGCAATGTGATGCAGCTAAGAATAGTGTATGCGAGTGACCATCCACTTTAGAATGTCAATGCTGAATGAATCGGTTGCTGCGTGCGACATTGAGATTGACATCATCGTCCGCACCGTGGTGGCTTGGCCAAGAAGAGCTTTGACTTTGTTCAAGTGCGTCATTCGCGTTTGTTGTTCAATTTGCCATTGCAGTCTTGTAGCCTTGGCTGGCTCACTTCTAGTAGCGTGGCACGAACTTGCCGGTTTCCGCTTCAATGCCATGAACAGGCGACACGACTTGCTTTACCCATCTGCATTTGCTTGCGCCAGGTGCTACACCAGTCCTCGTCGAGGACTTGCCGGCAGCGTTCCAAGACCTTTTGCGATTGAAGATAAGCTCCCATAACTGCAAGTTCATATGGCCATGGGTCAAAATCCCGCACCCCCAGTGAACATCCCAATCCCCATTAAAATAGACTAACATGGGTGGTGCACCTACCCCAAAATGGTACCATTGGTTTTGACCCACGGCCATAGACACCCTATAGTCATTGTACACCCTGCAGCGCTCCAGGAGTGCTGCCGGGTCTGCCGTCGGGACCTGGCTGTTTGGCTATTACAAGTCGCGCTATCCCCGCGCTCTCCACCTGAGCTCCCGCGGCTTCCTCTGGAACCTCGAGACCCAGAACTCGAAGTCCTGCCCAGACTTCTTCACGCAGCGCGCACATAATGACATAGTGCACATAGTGAACATAGTGCAGACTTGACAGCTTCATGTCCTGCACACTTCCAATTCATCATTGTCATTCAACTCGCCTGACTCCATAGCATGTCGTCTGGCCTGGACAAGACATTTGGGCATAATTTTTGCACAAGAATCGGAACTCTGTGGACATCATGTAGAGGAATGTCCACCAACCACTTTTGAGGTTCCAACTCCTATCCATATTTGAAACTCGGAAGCCCTGTGGCCATGACAGGGCCTACATCACAAAAAGGCAACTCGGCAACTTCTGTTCAAAACATTCAAAAACAAAAGGGAGAAAGGGCGCCCTACTTGCATCTGGCACGATCTCGTGCCTCCGCTCGTTGCTTCTTCACCGACCTCAGGACCTGAGGCCGCACAATGAGCAGGTCGCCCTGCTCACCTGGCAAATGAATCATCCAGGCCGGTGAGGCGGGTGAGGCCGGTGACCCAAAAAATTGGCAAGAGGTTGTTGATCGGCTGAGAGCCTTGTGCGGCTCGTGTGCTGTCTTTGGTGATGAGAAGCACTGCGCCATCGTTTCCATGGCCCTGGCACTGACATCTCTTTGGAACCTCTCTCACATTCGGCTGGTGCTCATCTCTAACCCGCTCCTCGTAGTCTCTGGCAGAGAAAACACGCATGAGCCTACAGGGAGGCCAATTGCCATACAATCGATCGCGCCAAAAGATGCGTTCTGAGGCCACAGGCATACTGCTGTGCATGACGTCAAAACCACCTTGGCAACAGATGCGGCCAATGGCTAGCGGCTGGGATCCATCTGCAGCCAAGGCACGGCTTCCTTTTTTGGACTGATGGCTGCGGATGATCAGGCCAAGACCTGTAGGAAGCATGGTGCCTGAAGTGGGTCAAGAAGCTCTCGAGCCGCGTGCCATTTCTGGCGCAAAAGGTCTTAGTGATGTTCCAGGCCTTGGAAATCGATTGCAACCAACTCACAGCCCTCTGGCGCACAAAGAGAAATTCAGGCATCCGCGAATTGAGCAGTGACACCTCCACGAGGAGACGGGTGGACACCTGATGGCTCAAGCATGGGCGACATGAGTCCTGGCTCTGGGCTCGCGGCCGAAAGTGTTGGGGTCTGCTCTTGCCCCATCTTCGATGGGGTCTGACCAAAGAATGTTGCTCAAAAGGTGCTCAAGGTGCTCAAGGTGCTCAAGGTGCTCAAGGTGCTCAAGGTGCTCAAGGTGCTCAAGGTGCTCAAGGTGCTCAAGGTGCTCAAGGTGCTCAAGGTGCTCAACGGTGCTCAAGGTGCTCAAGGTGCTCAAGGTGCTCAAGGTGCTCAAGGTGCTCAAGGTGCTCAAGGTGCTCAAGGTGCTCAAGGTGCTCAAGGTGCTCAAGGTGCTCAAGGTGCTCAAGGTGCTCAAGGTGCTCAAGGTGCTCAAAATGAAAAGTCAAGTTGGCCGGCTCCACCAGGAGTTCTCCTGTCGGGGATCATGCAACTAGCTAGCGAATTGGTGCTGCCAAGACTGGCCTTTGAGAGTATCTTCTCAGATGGTAAAGGCCTGCCCACACTTGAGTCAATTGCACACACACCGCTTTCACGGCAAGCGTGGTGGTTCAGGCCTCGCAACGTTCCAGATGTCGCTCAGGCCCCACATTCCGTCTCCTGGCAGCCACAATGTGAAAGCTTGCAGCCATCATTTCCAACATCAGAGCATCAAAATGTTCACTGGCCAGTCAATCGAAGCAGCCCTGGCACCAGAAGGCAAACCGGAGATAGAAGAGCGATTGACGTTGAAGACCAAGCGGTGTGACAATGAAAATCGAAGAGTTCAAGCCACACCCGTCCATACAAAAGGCGCGCCTATCCCACCGTGCAGAACGAGAGCACGATTGGCAATCAGACATGCCAGAGGCCTGAACAGTGATTCAAGCGAAGAGTAGCCGACAGGGGCTTCCGTTTACTTTGTGTTTTTGTTGTATTTTGCGTTTAAAACTAGACGACAGGTGGCCCGGAAGCAAAGAAACACGTTAAATCAACTCTGACGCCTCCCCCGCCTCATGAGAAACAAAGTGAGCAAGCTTAGCACCATGCTTCGCAATCTCTCGTGTCAGTTTCTGTTGCGAGCGATGTTGTGAATTGATGCTGCGCGCGAAGCTGTGCGTGGTGCCGTGCGTGATGCTGCGCATGATGTTGCAAATGATGCTACGCGTGGCGCTGCGAGCTGAAGATCATTCGCGCTACTTTTGTACTGAGAAGTTGCGATTCTTGAGCCTTTGCGTACTACTTTTATACTCAAACAAGTTACAACTTGCGATCTGGAGATGCGTGACTGCTCTTCGCGCGCTGCTTGCATACTTACTTGAAACTTGCGTTTTTAGCCACAACTGCGGGAATGCACTTCGCGTACTACGTTTGTACCCAAAACTTGCGATTTTGCAGCCAGAACTGCGGGAGCACGGTTTCCGCGCTATACTTTTGAGAATTACCAGACAAAGCCATGGAAACGCATTTTGTGTAGTACTTTTGTACTTAAATCTTGCGAAACTTTTGTACTTAGAAACTGCAATTTTGCAGCCGGAGCTCTGGGAATGCTCTCTGCTCTCTGCGTACTACTTTTGTATTTCGAAGTTGCGAATTTCGAGCTGGAGTTGTGGGAGCGCGCTTCGTGTACTACTGTTGTGCAATTTTGCAGTCGGAGCTCTGGGAATGCTCTTCGCGTTCTACTTTTGCGCTTTAAACTTGCAAGCATTCAGCCGGAGCTGCGGACATGTACTTCGCGTACTACTTTTGTAGATAGAAGTTGCGAATTTCGAGCCGGAGCTGCAGGAGCGCGCTTCTCGCGCTACTTAAGGTGCTGCGGGAGTGCTCTTCGTGTACTACTTTTGTACTCAACAGTTACGATTTTGCAGCCTGCGGGAATGTTCTTTGCACACTACTTTCGTGAGCCATAAGTTACTCAAAATTACGATTTTCAATCCTGAGCGGCAATGCTCTTCGCGCTCGCCTGCTTGTGTACTTGAAACTTGAGATTTCAGCCGGAGCTGCGGGAACGAACTTTACTTTGGTACTTGAGAACTGCTATTCTTGGGCTGGAGCTGGCGCGGACAAGGGGGGAATCGAGCCCGCGACGCCGCGACTGCGAAAGCAGGCGCGCAAACCACGACACAACTTTCAAAGACCATTCGCGAGCAGCGAAAGCGAGAAAATTCGCACAGTGCCACAGCGAGAGCGCTTCGACACGCACGATCTCCGCAGACGGTTCGCCGCGCTCAAGACAAATTCGCACGGCGCCACAGCGAGAGCGCTTCGACACGCACGATCTCCGTGCGAGAGCTCTTCGACACGCACGATCTCCGCAGAGGGCTCGGCGAGACCAAGACAACTTCGCACGGCGCCACAGCGAGAGCGCTTCGACACGCGCGATCTCCGCAGAGGGGTACGTTTCGTAAGCTTCCGTCGGGCCTACCCCCGCCAGAAAAAGAAGAAGAATCAAGAGTGGAGAAGTGAAGGTTCAAAAGAAAAGTTAGTTTGTGTTTTTAGGATACTGAAGTAACACCCAAAAAGTTAGCTTGTGCTTTTAGAATTATGAGATAACACCCAAAAAGTTGACATTAAAAGTTGGCTGGTGAAGTAACTCTCGAAAAGTTGGCATGAGAAGTTGGAAGGTGAAATAACTCCTCGGCAAGTTGGCATGAGAAGTTGGCAGGTGAAGTTTGCAGCCGCTTTTAGAAGAAGAACCCTTCGCAATGCGTCCGAGGAAAAAAGGAAGATAAGACAACATGGATGACGTACAGCACAAGATACCAAACAAATATCAAGGACATCGAGGATATCAAGGCATGGGCAAGCGATCAAATGCGCTCTGCATGAGGTCGAACCTAAGTCCAAGAACAAGGCAAACAAGGAAGCAAGGAACCGGCTCAGCTGGGGACATTGGCTGTCGTGTCTTAGGCCAAAGCATCTTCTTGCCAAAGTCCGTGCCCAGCTTGAGCATGCATTCATCTCAGGAGTCAGTAGCTCACTGTGGCAATCCTTGGAACTGCAATGCCTCAGAGCCTGACGTTTGAATCCATACTTCTCGTTCATGAGCCTGTCCTCATGATTTCCCCTGGCCAAGGCATCGCGCTGGGGCGTGTTCGAATGAACTGCGGCGGGCCTGATGAGGTAAACCTTCTCCGGGTAAAGCACCTTTTGCTGCACATTCATGCCGAAATGCTGGTGAGGCCAGTGCTTATTGCAGCTAACCTTGTCCAACTTCACAATGCCACATGTGTTGATGGTGTCATCAAGCTAATCTCAGCTTGGCTTAGCTGGTGCTACACACCACACAAATGGCCGGCACTCCGCCCGGCCTTGAGAGCTAGCAGCAGGCCTGCAATCCACAAGCCAAACGCATCGCCTGTGCAAACGCACGGCTGTCGCCTACAGTTTCGAGCTGATGCTGACCGCGATCCTTGCAACACACAAATCCAGTCACTCGATTGCGGCTCCAAGCGCTCTCCATGGGATGCTTGGGGTCGGCACTACAAAATCGCCATTGAATACGAACGTAGTTTCGTCCCGGCCTGCTGCTAAGCCATTGACGCTCCAGCGAACCGAATAGAACCAAGGTCCAAGCCAGGCATGCCGAAAGCATGAAAGTACAAGAGCCTTCAGCCAGTCTTCGAAGCCGTGCTTAGCTACCTACACTACCTGCTGAAGAAATAAACTCCAAGGCAGCAGACAGGTCTCGCAGCTGTCCATGAAGGTCCCCGAAGACTCGACCTTCGCACAAACAACATTCGTCAAAGCCTCGCCCGGCAAATCCATGCATTGCACCAGGGATACTGCGCCCTTGATTTCCACGACACGCAGTCTTTATCACTGGCCCCAGAACACAGATTGGTTCCCTTGCCCAGGTGGAACCACGCCACCATGGTGTTGGCAAAGACAAAGAAAGCTTGTGCAGTATACAATGACAACAAATATTGAACATGTCGTTAAGGTGAAACGTAGTGTCATCGAGCTTTGCTTTCTGACACAAATACGCGACTGTCCACGCTGCTTGAGATTCTGACACGCTCAAAACTCAAGCGGGTCCTGCATTAGCACGTCCCGCTGGCAGCTTTTCGAATTGGCAAAGTTTTCAAAGGCAGCTGGCAATCACAGCAGGCACCATGGCCTGATGGGCCATCCTTTTGAAGGCAAACCTTCCGCAAAGAGGGCAAATCGTGCTGACGCAGCAAAGGCTGGCACAGTTTGTGCCGTGCAAGTGGAGGCTTTCAGCTTGAGCTCAGTATGTTGGGGCTAAAATTCCAGAATGAAAGTAGTGAAAGCCAAGTTCAGAAAGGTCACTAAGAGCGATGGCCCTCGACGGGCCTTGGCCTATTCTTGGCCTAGGCATCCACTGCGGCAGTGCGGCAGTGCGAGTAAGGCTGTGAGTCAGTCTGAGTGCCTGACGGTCTGCAAGCTGGGACCTCCAGGCTCGGAAAAGGAGATGGAAACTGACCAAAAAAAGGAGATGGATGCCCATCTGCGCTTAGCATGGCTTTCAGTCAAGAAATGTCAGTCGATCTGAGGTGTTCGCTTGTGGCCGATAGCAAAGCGCTGTGGATTGAAAGAGCATCGTCCACAGTGACCCGGTCGAACCGGACCAACTGAGAGCAAAGCATCCAAGTGGGTGAGTGAGTGTGTGCTTACGACATGAGCCAAAGCTTCACGATGTGAACGTACGACACTTGCCGGACTCTGCAACGTCTGATCGGCCAAGTGGCATGTGATCAAATATGAGCCCAACGGGCACAGTGCGAATATGATTGAAGAGATCCTTGTGCGGTTGAGTTCCGTGCATGGTTGGTGAATATCCAAAGAAAGCTACCAAGTCAATGCATAAATTAGCACTGCTGATACATTGCCGCCTCTGCATTACACGGGTCTTGTACCAAGCAACGTCACGGTGAAGCACATCGCTCCCAGCTTGGCAAAGATTGTCAGCGTGCAGAAGACCAGGAACAACGAGGATCCTCTGTATCAATGTCGTCACATTCACTTCCGAGAAGAACTTGAATTTATGCACCGCACGGAAGTTGCACTATAAAAACAGGGGTCCTTACATTATACACCTGAACATTGCCTTGTCAATGGTGGTTTCCCCTTAATTTGGTGGAAAAAGCCATGTTTCAAATGGGCAACATGTATCTTTTAAGGAGCCCTGTAAAAACTTTATCGGCGTTGCTCCTGCCGTGGTGATCGCACTGCCCATCGTCGCACTGCCCATGGTCTTCAGCGCGAAGCTCATGCGCTGCAGGCGCTGAGATGCGTACTCTCGATCCGGTCCTATCGGCTGGCGATCAACCTCTGCGATAACTGCTGACCCGTCCGTGGCTCGTGCCAATTTGATAAAAGAAAAAAGGTCCCCCTCTTGAGAGCCAAAAAACAGTCGGGATTTCCCCAATTGAAGAACCTCAAAAATGGGGGGGGTCCTTTCCCAAATGGGGCACCTTTCGGACCAAAATGCGGGGCAAAATGCAGGGCATCTTAGGAAGATTTGCTGCGAAAGGCAATCTGTCCTAGCCAAACCTGGTCTTCCTCTGCCAGCGCTTCCCTGCTGCCGTACTTGTAGACCTTGAATCAGGCATGGAAGGAGAAGTGCCAGCTGCATCTTACAGCCGTATGCCATGAACTTGGCACTGCTCCTACAGCACAGGCAATAACGACAGCGTAACGATGATGACTTTCCGAACGAGCTTCCATGTGCAGGGTGTAGTCCACAGCGTAGCCTGAAGCCAAGAGGGTGTGAAGGCTGAGGGCCACTTCATGCCGTCTGAGCTGAGGACCAATGAAGTAAATGAAGGCGATTACCTCAATGAGGCCAACCTCCCAACCCATGACCTCGGTTGTGCGGCACCGGACAGTATAGCTTGCTTGTCTTGCTCTCAGTGTGCGTAAAACGGCGGCCTCAATGCAATCCCGAAAGTCTTAGCAAAGCGTCCGCCGTGATGAAGAAGCACAGGATGATGATCACAATAATGGTTGATACAACCACCACCACGGAAAGGACACAGCTGTGTGTGAAAATCAGCATGCATCCCTCGGCTGGACACTTCAGCAACAGTGCAAGTGGGAGCGACTTGTCTTACACATTATACAAATTGATGTCGATCGTAACATTGGGATGAGCAAAGGGATATGGACCATATGGACTGTGCTTCCTATGTAGTGGCACATCAGCAAGTGGAAAACGCGACTATCGCCAAGATGCCAGCGCCAAGACACAAAGCACTATCAGACTTGTTGCTGTGCTAGCAATGAGCCTCGCCAAAGAATCGTTTTCAATCCAGCACCTGCCTGCTGGACAAATGCAAGAAACGTGGGAATGTGTCAATCCACGTCCCCTTTGGTGATAGGTAAAAGCAAACCAACATTAAATCAACCATGTGGAAGGGTCCGGGATTTCTGACACATTCCCTCTTGGTCTAGCATGCAGCCTTGACGATGACTCCACATTGACCCACTGATCAGAAACCTGGCACTGCACTACGCGAGATGTGCTTTGGTTGAAGGTCTTGATGCAAGCAATGTCTGTTGCACGCGCACACACACACAATCATCAAGAGGGGCACCAGGCCGTTCACGCGCATCTCATGTGATGTGTGCTTGCGGCCGAGTCCAAACAAAAAGCATCAGGCCGAGCAACATGAAAGGCTCCACGTGCCGTACTCGAGCTCTTCGCGTTCCAAAGTGCTGTGTACTTGTCCCATTGCTCTTTCAAAGCCAGTACCTGCAATCGCTAAACGCGGTCATTGCCAAAGCATCCCAGACAAGACATGCCCGCAAACTGCCACCCCAAGGTACGTCATCATGAGGATCTTGTCTGGACATGCCAAGTTCAAAGGAGTAGTACATTCCTACAGGATGCGATGGCTGTTTCTATCAAATTGCAAACGCGCTGCGCAAACGATTGTGTCCTTTGATTGATTCCTCTTCCAGCCAAATGTACCGAGTGCCGCGAGTTGCTGAGGGTGAAGTATCCACCTGGAATCCCAGTATGAGTGCATTTACAACCGTCGAAAAGCGGTGTAATGCGCCAAGCAGCAAATAATCTTGAGATGACCGGCCAATCAACGGCTTTGACCGGAAATCGCCCTTGCTGCTGGCGGGCAAACAAACCTTAGCTTGACCAGCGGCACCAAATCTCAGCACCGCACATGACGACGTGCAGGCAGGGCAGCGGAAGTCTTCAAACCAGCACCACTTCCTGGCTCCGTCGAACATCAGCTGAGTCGGCTGAGTATTCATGTCACATGGGTGTGGGACAAAATAAAGCAACTAGGGAACCGCAGTTTTAGTCCATGTTTCCATTTACCAAGGTTCCATTTTGGGTACCTATTTGTGACCCACAGCCACATCCAAAAGGCACATTGGACGCTCCTGGTGATTTGAAGCTCCTCCGGGACATCCTTGCAGAAGAAATACCTTGCAACGCTTGGGCTTGCCCTATGGATGGGCCTGTAGGAGCTGCCAATTGCCATGCCCCCGCCCCCGGGGCCCCCCCGGGCCCCCAAAATAGTACTCTTGCCTGCTCAGCTACAACACCCCATTTCAGTCAAAGTCGATACATCTAATCTTCTTGGGCCGTTCTTATGACAATACTACACAGGCCCGCATACAGGAAGCTCGTGCGCCAATACATGCGGACCGACAATCCAAGGTGCAGTGCCCTCTGTGCCCATGGGTCGGACAGGTCAAAGATAGGGTTGAAGGTCCATGTATCTTCTGGTGCCCTCAGGCAAAACCGTATGTGGAGGCGGCCAATGATTCTCGACGTATCCAATCTGAAAAGGCACAACTTCTGCCAAGGCTCCGTTCTCCCAGCAATTTCACGGTTATCACGGGTACGATGCCAAAAATGGCACGGACCTGCGGCAATGCATGCAATGCATTCCACAATGGATCCCACCTGTGAACAAGGCCTTCATGCGCTTGGAAATGGCCACATCACTGGCAACCAGCTGCAACGAGCGGCCCGTAGCATCACCGACTTCCTGCAGTTGCACATCCGGAGAATTAGTGAATGCAGCAATTGTAGCGCCGCACTTCAAGCTGCATGTCTTGCAGCAATTTGACTCACACCCTTAGTTTTCAACTTCAACACGTACTACTTCCCACCAATGCCACTTCCCTTTCCTGGTTTCGCGCAAAGAAAGCAAAGCGCACTTGTCCTGCATCTGCCTTGTGTAGGGCAAATCTAAATTGACGGAGGTCTCCCATTCACTTGCCAGCTTGCACTGCAACTCGCCCGTACAAAAGCAGATCTCATTCCATCCGCAGGATGCCGCCGGATCATCCCGGCTTAGATCAACTGAGACCTGCATCATATCGCTCAAAGAGGTGTCTCCAGTTTCCCAGACCTGCTGCAAAAGTTGTGGCAGCGGCCTTTGTGCCTGAAGCATGGTCTCACGAGCGCCTGCGGGCAAGCCAACATTTGCAGATCCTTGGCCCAAAAGCAGATGATCAGCGACGTTCACTGTCAGCTGAAGGTCGGACAAGGTGCTTGGACCCACAAAACGGATGTTCACTGGGGCTGTCCCTGAGGTGGAGGGGCAGCCAGTAAGCAAGCGCCGCCGACACGCACACGTCCCGTTCCCTGCCCAGGGAGGTCGGTAGTCGGAGAAGCTTGCCTCGCACCATTGCATGACGCACCCAGACATATCCTCAAAGTTGTCTTCCTTGCAAACCTGTGCTTGTCTTGGAGGCTCAGTCTGCGTGGTTGGAAATGCTTGAGACACTACCTCAAACTCACTCAAGACCTGAACTCCAGTGTTCTGGTTGTGATTTTCTGGGAAGATTCCCGGCATACTGGTCCCCACCACAACCGAGGTCGCTGTGAAGATGATGCACACGATCACGCCAACAACTGTGAGACACAGGACAGGGACGCGCAACTTGTAAAGGCAGTGAGCCCACATCCCAAAGCAAGCAGACTTTCGGTTGCCAGAGTTGTCCTTGCCAGACAAGCGGATACGTCTGCACCAAACGTGGTCGATGACAATTGTCGGGACGTAGATGAAGGTTATGCAAAGCCATGTGACCAGAACACACAGTCCCATAAAGAAGCCAAACTGCCGCAAAGCTCGAATGACGGAGGCCATGTTGCACAGAAAAGACAGTGCCGTTGTGGAAGTGGTTGCCAGGGATGCCTTCACAGCCCGCCTGTATGTCCATGCCAAGCGGTTCGATATCTTTTCCGCTCTGTCCGCAGATTGCGCCCAGGCATCATAGTATACAAACATCACATCTGCCCCAAAGCCTATGGCGAGAAATACCGCCAGAAAGTTGGCAAAGTTGACTGTGGTATTCCCAAAGATGGCTCCGCAGACAATAAATGTGATTGGCACGGAAAGCATTGCCAGCAAAGGGCCCACAATGGCAAGCATAACGCTGCGGGTGTGCAACAGCATGTAGCACAGAATGAACACCGCGGAGCCCACCGCCAACGGAATGTCTTTCATCACTGCCATGCTCACCTCGTAATCTCTAAAACCTGTTCCATCAAACCACACCTTCAGGCTGTCCGTACTTGTCAGCAGGTCGGGAGAGGTCAGTGCTGGCACGACGATCTCTTCAAAGAAATCCGCCCACTTGGCATCAACTGCCCTTGCGGCAGCCACTCGGTCCTCCACCTTGTCGCTGGCACTACCAACCACAAATTTGAACCGGAAGAGAGTCCTCAAACTTGCTGCGCCTTCATCTACATCCGGGTCATAGCCTGTTGGCAAAAACAGCGAAGCCAATCCGTGCTCCTTTGCTACCAGGAATGCTGTCCGAATCGGCACTGGGTCAAAGCCCAATCCATCAAGCATCATGGAATCAGGAACGATGCTCCTTGGCTGTCAGATCCACACACAAGAGTCACACAAGCACAAGCGCGAAATGCGGGTTGCTGATAAATGTTTGAGACACTGATTGCCCTAGAGGCGCCGCGACATCTGTGCACTTGCGATACGATTCATCCATGGTGGCACCAATGGTGTTTGTGTGAGAGCGAAAGAGAGGAGACACCAGTTTCTATTGGTTGACAATTGCCAGCTGGAAGCTAGCATGCTGCTACTGGGGCCTACAAATACTGAGGGGTTGGGAAAGTGGCTTAATGGTAGTTTCAGACACATCAGAATTATACTTCTTGTATTGATTGGTTTATTCGGTACGATTGTTCCTTTTCTCTGTCTTTTTCTCTGTCTCTTTCTGTTTCCATTTATCTTTCTCTCTCTCTCTCTGTCTCTTTCTCTTGGGCTACTTTTTCTCTTTCTCTTTCTTTTTCTACTTCTGTTTCTCCTTCTCTTTTTCTCTTTCTCTTTCTCTGTCTCTGTCTCCTTCTGTTTCTGTTTCACTTTGTATTTCTCTTTCTCACGCTTTTTCTCTTTCTCTTTCGCTTCTTTGTCTTTCTCGTCTTCTTCTCGTTGTGGATTCAACATGATGCCTCACTCAGGCATGTACTATCTGTGGCGCCTGTGTGGGCTCAACAGGGCCCTTGAGTCAGGCAACCGCAATCGATAAAGCAGCGAGAACTTGGAGGTCAACATCGATCATACTTGAACACCTGATTCTTACACGGTAGCGGAGCAACTACAACAAAAGCTGTCCAGGAAGCATCCGGGAGCTACAAACAATCTCACAACACCCAGTAAGTATGGACGTGAGTGACACTTGCACGTATGGCACAACAAAATGGCGGACTTAGGTCCATTCACAGATACAAGATCCCACCACCACATACACAGGAGACTATGCAACATTCGAAGAATGGAAGTTCAGATTTACAGCATATTTGGGTTTGATGGATTAAATTGCAGCAAGTAGGACATTCAACAGAACAGGTAGCAGGCGCTCTACTACAACAAGCACTAACCATTGGAGGTAGGAGATCACTGCATCAACCTATCACGAGACCTCAGGTACATACTGATGAGCTGCTGTACCGGACCCGCAGCAACACTTTGCAAACAATACACAACAGCCAGCGGGCTGGAAACATGGAGAAACTGCTCAACAGGTTCTCGATCCCACTAGGAACCAGGAGCACTGGTTACTTAACCAAGCCTCTCGAACCAAAATTCAACGACAACTTTGAGGAAGTCATTCGCAAGGGAGATTGAAGTTGGACGCTAGTGAAGATCGCGATCCCGGACGTGAAGATCGCGATCCTTCTCAACGAGACTCGAGGTCCGCCCAAACAGCATCTACAACTGACCTCAGGAACATCCTACAGCAGGCAACAATCAATAGGAGCATGGTGGACATGCAAACACAAAGGAAAAGGGAAACACCACAAAGGCAAAGGATAGAGCAACAGGAAAAGCGGCAAAGGCTACGCGCACAGTCATCACAAAAGACAAAGGCCGACATGATCGGCCAAGGCCTGTTCAAATACCAATACGGGTACAAAGGAAAAGGCAAACGTGGATAGAACAAAGGAAAGGGCAGCCATGCCAATGTTTGCTACCGAATCACACTCGACCAAGCAACTGGCATAGGGAGCAACAGCAATACGACAACTACTGGTGGAATGCAGACCTAACAGGGCAACAGCAACAGCAACTGGCACTTCCAGCACCCAGTTTGGCGGCAGGGGCCACAACACCACCGGTGGTCTGCGGCTTGGACGACATCAGCATTGCATCCATTGACCAACAGCAGACAATCACAAGCTTATGTGCGACAGCGACGCAGCAACACATGTCTGTCAATCCTGTCTTGGACAGGAGTTCCCACTACAACTGGATCCACACAACAGACCACAACTACGAACTGTCACAGACCACAGCCTCAAAGTGCACTGGTGAAGGTGGATCGGGTTCAAGAATCAACAACAACCACCAATCGTCGCAAGCAACTCAAGGTGTTGATCGCACGACTGATGGACCAGGCTTCAACATCAAAGTCACCTAGACTCCCGCTGTGCCCCACGACAATGGTTTCAACGGCGAGATTGAGAGACAACGCGGTCTCTTCTATCTCGACTTGACAGTTGACTTTCAAAAGGACAAGCAACGCGCTTAAAGATCACACCAGCAATAGACCAACAACGACCACACAAACAGGCACAGAGCCGATGCGAGGTGCTCTGGCATTACAACAACGAAGGTTGCCTTGTGTGATTTCACAAAAGCCTGAGAAAGGCCCCCCTGTTCACACCACGCAACACACCATGCCCACCTCCATGGAGCAACTGGAAAACTTCGGAAAAGCAGTCAGCGGGAGAAGCGACTGAGGCTTCACGCTGACTCCTATTCCCCGTTGCGCTACGGATACTTAAGTCTTGTGCCATACAGCGCATACAGGATGCACAGGGTCCAGGCACTCCACACCCCCCTCATCGCAGATCGCAGGTTGCGGGTGCGCTACAGCAGGTGTTGAAACCTGCAAGAACTGTGCATCTATACATCAGATTCAGATGAGATGCAAGGTTTGTGTCCTAATGTCATTCAAACTACGTCTTCTTCACGTGCGCACCTTTGAGGCGAACTTGCCACTCATCGCCTCCAGCCCGAAGACCACCCTGCGACCACGAACTGGACCATCTCCAGGAAGACAGCGATTGTTCCGGTTTGCCTTTGGGGTGGTAGCGCGCACGGCCGAATGTTGGGCTGGACGGGCGACGAGCTTGAGTCATTGCGTCAATCTGGGCTTTGTGACAGATGCCCCAGACTTCAGCTTCGCGATCATTGGTTCGCGGGAGGATGTTGACCTGCTGGATGTACTGCTTCAATCTCCGAGCGCGGCCGTTGTAGGCAACAACCATGGAAATACAAGGCCAGCCTCCAAGCTGATGGGCTTTCGTGGTGGAAGCACACGGCGCATTGACGCATGGAGTATCCGGGGCCAACGCCAAGGAGCCTCTGGCGAAGAGCGTGGAACTCAGGCAGCACACGCGTGCTTTTCGTGCGTGCTTGTCTTCTGTCAGAGAGCGAGCTTTCAACTAGTTGCCAATGTCAGAAAAGCTCCTTCGAAAGGTCCTTTAACTAAGTCTTGTGCATCAACGCAGCATGTGACGCTGGCTGACGGATGCGTTCAGCCTCCGTGAAATCAGGGTATGATGATTGTGTTTGACATCAAAGCTTGTAGGACATCAAATGTTGCTTCAGCTTCAACTTCCTCCCTGCAGGCACCTTGCTGTGTTCAGCTCCGGTTGGTTCCTTAATTAAGACTTAGTTCAGAAACGGACCAGCACTATTGTCGCATGTGCGGTCCAGTCCCATATGTCTATCATCATTGTTGTTTCTTATCTTACATATCTTACCATCAAGTCTGCAGTTACTTTGTTGCAAGGGCTCCGTATTATCCTTGTCACGCAGCACTACTGGACGTGCCTCGCCTCTCACTCAACGTCACAACCATTCCAAAGGATCCAGCTCTGTTGCATCAAAGTGACCCTTGCGTGATATCTAAAGTCGGCAAAGCATAGCTAGAAAAGGACAAGCCAGGATTGCAAAGCCCGTGGTACCTGACAGGCACATACGACACATACGACGGGAGAGTGCCCATCTTTCCACTGAGCGCGGTGCTCTGCATCGGTTTGATTGCAGAAGGCTTCAAAGCCGGGATATTCTCGCAACGACTGTTCCAGCCTGCAGCTTGAGGCCAGCTTCATCTCATCATTGTGAACATGGCTTAGTCTAAGCCATGCAAGCCCCTTAGTCCAAGGAACCGTGACATTTGGCTCAGGAACTTGGTGGACAGGATGCCCTGGCTGCCTGCACGCTGGAAACTTCCAACATCTGAAATGATAAGTCATCAACCAGTCCTGCGGGTGAAACTAGATTGTATGCGACGTAGAGATCCTTGGTGCTGTAGGCTTTCGCATTGGAAGCTTGCAGCCGGCGAAGAAGACCTGGCAAAGGCATTTGGCTCAAGCGGAAGGCTGGCTGAGATCGAGATAGCAACTGAGAATATGACCTGTGCTCCTTGAGCTCGTAGCAGCATTGAATGAAGCCAATTGCAGCGAGGATTGCACATCGCTGACCAGGAAAGACTCAAAGTTCGTCTCTATCCTCAAGTAGCAAGCATAGCTTGCCCTGTGCTAATTTGCATGGCCTGAACGGCAGGCTTGCAAGGCCGATGGAGATCACCAAAAGCAGCACCAACCAGCCGATGCATGCGCACAGGATCGGCCTCCGTGACTCTTGCAATGCAAAGGATAGGTTCGCTGGCAACATGGCCTGGTCGCAATGAAGTGGCTGCCACAGCAGCCTGGGAGGTCCTTTTCCTGAGCTCTGGATCTGGTCGGTTGCATTGATTGGTCGCACCCACGCCTCCGTCAGCATCTGTGCGGAAGCGTCACTCGCATCTTCGGGCACATGGTCCAACCTCGGGAATCGGATGGAATGAGAACTGAAAGCGAAAGCATGAGTCAACCCTCTGAGAAGGCAACGGAGTCACCTCCGATGGTCCAGCGTCTTGGACATGGTAGCTACTGCTGCTGCCCCCGAACTGGAAGCCGTTCCTCAAGCAAATGACTTCAAAAAGCCTGGCGTTGAGAGCAAACCAAACCGCTTGAGCGCTTGATCGCTTCGTCAGGCACCAGCCTTTGCAGCCTGTGCAGTCAAATGGCTCACCATAGGCGGGAATGGCTGTGTCATCCCCCCAGACCATGTGTGCACCTCGGTCGCACATTGTCACGGCTCGGAGCGACGTAGAAACCGGTACCAAGTGCCATCCAAGTCGCCAAGTGCCGGTGTGAAACTGACTCTTGAATCATGCGTCAATGCTAGTAAATGGCAGCGAACGAATACACTGCTCCACGCTCCAACTGCATATGAAAGAATCCCCTTTTCAAATCCCTGCCAGATCCCAGTCTCGACCAACTCAAATTGAAGCAGTCCAAACATCTCACCACGATTCTTGCTGAGGCAGAAACAGGGAGGTGATGCTGCCACCAACGGTGGCTGAGTCGCCTTTAGCCAAATCAAATGCAATACATAGCGCTGGAGCCTTCCCAAGAGCGAGACCAGCAGCTTGCAGGCTGCGTTTGCCAGCAGCATCAAGGTGTCAAAGTATTCGGTGGAGAACAGGTGGGTCCTGAAGCCAGCGTGCGAGAGCATTCTCCAGGTCTATTTATCTATTTCCGACAAGAGAGGCTAGAGAGTGGATCTGACATGTCGAGGCAGGGGCAGCAGTTGTGGGTCGTCCCACTCATGGTCCATGACATCCTTCCCCCTGTGCAAAGAAAGGAAAAGAGAGAGGGAGAGGCATGGCTCTCTCCAAAATGCACCAAGGCCGAGACGAGCGAGCCAGCTTCTTCGACAGGTCCAGGGCTTGGGCAGCAATTGCTTTGCAACGCCTTGGATGCAGCGGGAGTGGAACGCCACGTACGTCACGTCCATGAGCTCCTTGCCCTTGAAGCCGGCTGAGCCAAATGGCCACACCTGTACCTCGCAAAGGCTGACTCCACCCGGATGCAAGCGACTCTCACTGCGCTGAGCCCACGCGTTGAGCTCTCTGTAAGAGGGACCGAATCCTTGGAGTCAATTCGAACAGCCGACACCTGCTTCTTTCGTGCCGTACATCGGTTGGCAAATGGGCCTCTCGAAATAAGCCAGGCAACTCCTGTATCTTCAAACCGGCGCTTTCTGATCGCTTTATCCTTGACTGCCTCGGCTCAAGCGTAAATTGGAATTGTCAAACGTGCTGCCAGGCGCGTTTGGTCTCAGGTCTCGGCATTGAAATCTAGGACTTTTCGGTGCAGCACCTGCAAAGGTCACCCAAGACAACGAAATTCTTGCAGCTTGAGACAGGAAAGCACTGTCTCAAATTTGGAAGCAAAACACCATGCATCCCCGGCCTTGCCAATCAAATGGCCCCAGTTTGCTGTCGCCTCCGTGTCGACCACCTTGGCAGATCATGCTTCACCAGTACAAGGGGCACCCGACCCGCCGACCGCAACAGAAATAACTCAATCCCGGTTGCTTGGAACAGGCCGAACAAAAGAGTTGCACTGTAGCTCAGGGGAACGGGCTTGGGTCTAAACATATGTTCGCTGTGCCGACCCAGCCACTTGCAATCCCAAAACGTCAAGCTGGGCTGGTTGCAGTGTTCAGTTTTCACACTTTTGCACGGCATTGCTAATCAATCTCCTCTGCCCAAGTAGAACATAGGGGAACAAAGAGGGGAGGGCCAATGTAAAGAGGTTGAAGGCCAACGCTGAGGGGGGCAAACCTGTTCTCCTCAAACGCCTACCTGTGAACTCTGCTGCTAAATGATTTGCGCACCCGCTCGCTCGTCTGCTCCCGCGTGTCTCATCTTGTAGTGACTTTTAGGATCGCAAGTCAGCGATGTTTCAGGGTCCATCATATGAAATTATGCAACTAGCTGCGTCGCGTGTCGATCTTAAAGCAGTGGCAGCTGCAAGCTGGGTCCTCAGGCACTTTTGAGGCGTCTCAGCTTTGACATAGCCTAGCAGCTTTGGAGTAACGTAAGCGTCAGCCAAGCCAACAGCTGGAACAAGGCAGCCGGCCTCTCGTCTCAGCATATCTTTCTCTGTCAACCCAAGGCCTGCCAGCACGATGCATGCTTGCAAATCATGCTCTGTGAACCTACAGCCATGACCTCACCGTTGAGACTTGGTCTACCAAACAGCCAGGTAAGCGTGTGGTTCTTGAGTTCCACGGTGAATATACATGTCTGCGTTGGTTAAAGGATCGCAGGAAACTTGAAAGCTGCCTGGAGACAATGCGTGCCCTGCCTTCCAGGCTTCTCTCAGAATGATGTGAGCGGATGGACCTCCAGTGCAGGACAGCTCTATGGCACTGATTGGAAAAAGGTGCTCGGCAAACAGTTGTGGAGCACGGTACATGGAATCTGCATTCCAATAACGAGCTTGCTTGCAGCAAAGACGTGAAGATGCCGGCTGAGCTTTCTACCCTTTGTCACTGCCACGTGAGCGATGAGAAGCCTGGCTGAGGGAAGCCAGTCGATTGCCCAAAAAACTCGAAAGGACATGTGAAAGACACCAGGCCCAGGATGCAATTGACATGCTCTGTCTCAGTGGACTGGGCAATTCAATGGCTAATATCATGAGGCCGTTTAGTGCGAAGGATGATACGGCTCTTAGATCTCCCTTCCTTGCTCCCCCAATTCCCCGCTCAAGTGGCATTGTTCTGGGTGAACAATATGCTTCTAGCATCGTGTGGCCATGTGAGCCAGTGGATGCTGCAAGGTTGCCCCGTTCTATTTCCTCCTTCCTGTTGTGTATGTTTGCTCGTCTGCAAGGACAGGTTTCGCACGAAACCGTTGTGCACAAGCTGAGACCAAGAAACAGAAACTGCAGAACTAAAGGAACAACTGTGCGGGCGCAGCATTGATGCCAAACATATTGGAATTTTACAAAACACATGTTGACCGAAAAAAGAAGAAACCAAAATGGTTACTAAACTTCCCACTTGTTTGATAAACATTGTGTTTTGTAAAACTTGCCTAAGACTAGTGGTGCATTCCCAAAACATATGCTAGCAAAGTTCAGCTAAGATTTCCTTTTAAACAACTAGGTAGTACTAATAAGGTTTACAAAACATGGTTTTACCACACTGCTACTAGTGACTAAGGGTTGGCTTTAAGAAGTACACAACATACAAGCATTTCATTAAACTGTTGCTGAACTGTGAATACTTGCTTTTCACAACTTGACTAGAGCAACAAAGATAATAAATCACAAAAAGAAAAAAGAAACATAATCACACTATGTGTCCAATGCTTTACTACAACCACTTTCTGAATTTGCAGCATTGTCAGCACTTTGAATGTTGAGTATGTGCCTATATATGCGTCAGCATTACAATGTTTGCCGCATCACGCACTCTGACAACTATGTCCTACAATTGAAATACTCGTGCGCTCGAGACTTGAAACCCGTTTTAAAAATTATCAAATACGGTTCAAGTTATAAGAAGTGATCAAAAGTTATGTTAACTAACTAACATACTCAGAACTGGGAAAACATATACAGCTCATTCATTAACCTGTTGAACTCCTAGCTACTTATGAGTCTTTGTGTTTATCTAGCTGGGGGTCTGCTGAAGTTGGGGGGGGGGGCGACCATCTTCGCCCTTCGCAGGTCCAAACATCCTCTTTCTTTGGGGGTTCGAACAATTTGTTGGGAGGTCACAACAACTTTGGCCTTTTGGGGCGTCCAAATTTGTTCGTAGTGTTATGGCCTTAGAACCTTGTCACTGTCTAATCAAAAAATACAGGGCCAGACCAAGCGAACCCTCAGGATAAGTGCGAGTAGCCTTGATTTCAACGAGCAAAGTATTGAGCACATGCTCGGTTTATTGAGTATTGCAATACACACCCAAAAAAAAGCTGATAAATGAATGAGATGAGCCTGGCATCGTCCGTGAATCTCCAACCTTTGGGTATCAAAGGGCTGGGGTAGGATCAATACCAATGAAAGATAGCCATGAGTCCCAAAGTCTGCGTCGACAGACAGTTGACGGTCTGAATTCCTGCAAAGCATGTCCGTGACAAAAGCCGAGATCAAAATCCGAAAAGTCGAGAAGTTGAAAAGTCGGGTCAAATTCCGAAAAGTTCACAATGTTTGACTTGTTGAATGTGAAAATAGGTGTTTCGGCGTGTATGCCCGATAGCTACCAAAATTAGGAGCCACAAGTCAGCAGGAAGCCCCAAAGCGAAAAATCCCTCCGTCAACCGCAACAACCAAACGAAGGAAGAACCAGTGCCTCTGAACGAACATCGTCCTCCTGCCTGAGATGACAAGCTAAACATTGCATCTCCCAACCATTGCTTGCTCTAAGCTCAAGGCTCTCCATTCCGGCCCTCGGGAGAGCTTCATGTCACGCTCCACTCGTCGCAAAAATTGACAGGCGCCCGGCGAATTCGCCCAAGAGCTCTTGAGCATCGGCGTCGTTGAGTCGCTGCAGCGTGGCAGCGAGGCCTGTTGCAGTTGAATCAGGTGCTTCACTGCGCAAATGATTTGGGTATGGGTCAAAAATACACCATCGGCAGACCGCAGGTTTTCGTCCTTGTTTCCATTTGCCAGGCTTCCATTTTGGGGTTACCCTATTTTTGACCCACACACATTTCCGCAAGTTCATCCTCCGCGCAACATGCCAGCAGGGCTGAGATTGGTGTGTCGGCACTGAGTGCTTCGAGTGTGGACGACTGTGTCATCCATCTTCCTGACCCTCACTTTGTGGACCTCCGGATCGTAGAAATCCTGGCTCCACCATGCACGAGCATGTGAGAGGCGTGTGAGGCTCGTCAGTTCCGCCACAGCCGTGCGACCATGAACAATGCTGTATTAGCCAAAGCTTCATGGATGCGCTTGGTGCCAAGGTCGCTAAGGCATGCACGTACACGTTCTCCACGTGCACTCCACGGTCCAAAGCCTTGGAAATGACAGGTACAAGTTGGGATAGGTGGAACTTGGGGTGGCACCCATGCAGTGGGCTGATGACTAGCAGCAACTGCCTGCAATGAAATGACAGTTCTGATGTGTGCCCCCTGTCGGCTCACCATGTCAGGTGATGTCGTCGAAGATTGTGGTCACACAAGTAATGTCTGGCCTTCTGAAGGCTTCTAGCTGCACGATGAACTACCTAAGTGCGAAACAGGGCGAGACATGCTAGATAAAAAGATGCATGATCCTGAGGCAGCGAACGGCAAATTCATTCAGTGACATGCCAATTTTCTCCTCACAATGCAAAAGTGCGAAGAGATCTCAGCAACCCGAAACCCGAACGAAGCACATGGCGGTCCCCGGTAAGAGAGCTGTTGGAGGCCACCGAAGTATCCGTCCACCTTCGCCTGTCCGAACGCTGATGCCTCAGACTCAACACTTTCTGAGCAATGGCACTCCACGGATAAGCGTTGATGCTCATTGCCGCTCTTGTCAAACGAAATTAGACCCTTATCAATCTGCGCAGCTGATGTCGCCTGGACGGACAATTTCACGGTTAGAAGGCCAAGTCTTCAAGTCCCAACGAGACTGCGGTACATGCAACAATCTATCACCATCGCCCAACAACTTCTCTGAGGCGTGGGCGAATCAGCCTGCCCGATCGGAAAGACCATGCTCCAGTGCAAGCAACTAAGACTTGCCTTCTTCTCTTGCGACATCTTGTGGCTCGCAACCCGAACTGCGGGGTTCAAATGGTCGATTGCAGGCATGACATGTCGGTTGCAACAAGAAGACTTGACAAGATTTGTCCGTCCTCCAAAATATTCATCATCACAGTCAGCAATTTGGGCAGGCCTTGGTGCAGGGCTTAGGTCAAACTCAAGGACAACTTGTCCTGGGTTTCATGTTCATTAAGGCAGAGCATTCCTCCTTGTTTGCCAAGTCATGGTTCCAAAAGGACAGCTGCCACATGAGCCAAACTCCACATCTGGCACATACGCTCGAGCATGCAGCATTCTAAGCGCCTAGCAAATCATCCCCTTCTGCCCCAACATCATTGTCATTCTGGCAGCAGCCGCAAGTCCTTCACTTCAGAATCTTGACATCAAGTGAGTTTTCGACTCAAGGCAAGTCTGAGAAGCTGGCGGAGCGCCTATCAGCCGCTGCCACAAAGAAGTGTTTCCTCCTGGCCGTTCAATTCATTCCACATTAAATTTATCAAGTTTGTCGAATCACTTGCGGGTAAATCACAAAAGCCTTGCAACTCGCCGACAATTTGCCGCAAGGTCCTCTGCCTTCTTTGGTCCATGTGGCTGCCTTCTCTCTCTCTCTCTCCCGCTCTCTCTCAGTGCGGACGGCACAAGGGTAGGGCAACAGTGAACCGCTCCCTGTGCCAACGGGGTCCCCTGTGTCTGCCCCGTTTCTGCCTGAGTCATTCATGCGCTGGCCAGCTCAGCGGAATCCAGTCGACACGTGGCCTGGCAGCGCCAATGCTCAGCAAAGTCTCAAAAAACGTCCGAACCGGTCCCGCCTGGTCCAGTCATGGCCAAAGGACTAGACATGAAGCGAAGGTCAAAAAGTTTTGAGTGTGCTGAAAACTCGCGGGTCGAAGGCTTAGCTTCTCCTGGAGCTTTGGGCTTGGTTTGTCGCGCGCTAAGCTGTGCGCTGTCCATGTCATGCAGTTTACTTGAGCCGAACGAAGCACCGTTTGGGGAGCAAGACTGGGATCTGATGACGAAGCAAACGTGCTATGCACTGCGCACACGACACATCGAGGGCAAGTTTGGCATGATTGGCTCAGAAGTGCCAAAGAAGCTGTGGCATGCATGGCAAAGGCCGCACATGCAGAAGGAGTAGTTGTGGTAGTGCATGTCCGTAAGGACCTCTGCCTCAGGTAACTTTGCCAAATGGTCTTTCAGCCTCAGTGCCTCAGGTTGCTGCCCGAAGCTCGTCTGGCTGGTCGACTTTCATGCACTCCTCAGGGCTTCAGCAAGGCTTGAACCCAGGCTGCGCGAAGCAACTCGCGCCTTGAGCAGTTGTCTCACTTCAGCCTTTGTCCTGGCGACCGTGTACCGTACGACGTGTCTGTCAGCTCCCACAAGCCAGCAAGACTTGGCTGCAGCCACTTTGGCCAAATCTGCCTGCCAGTCAGCACTGGCAGCCCCGCGAAGGCGACGAGATCAAGCCGGCGCCTCCGACACATCTGCCCAATAGAGGAACAAAGGCCTGCACGCGCTTTGTATGGCCACAAAGCAGGTCTTTCTTTATCTACCTCTCTATCTCTCACCGCGCTTACCTCATGTCTTCCGGCTTTGGCCGCGGCTTCATAGTCTTGGCACCAAAGTCAGAGACCTCTGCCCAGGTTGCCGTTCGATCAATCGGAATCAAGCCAAGGTGCTGGCTGTTGCATTTGCGTTGGGATAGCCCGTTGGCTCACTTCGGCCCCGTAAAGTGCCCATCACCGCACTTGGAGCGCGTCTTCTCACTATCTGACTTGAGCCGAATGCGAGATGGATATGTGCCAATGCATAAGAGAGCCCCAGGTCTCCATGCTGAATATCCCTCAGCGTTTGGTTTGCCCACTTTGGTAGCAAAGGTATGTGCTTGATCCTGTACATCGCCCGGTATGAGACAGCATTTGCTTTGGCAGATTCAGCCGGGCTCACAGATCTAACCTCCATCGTCTGGATTCCCAGCGTTGTGCTGCAGTAAGCTGCTCGTCCGGCGCGTACGGGGCAATGCGAACTACGCCGTCTCGGGCGAAAAGCCACATCACGATATTGACGCGCTGTCCACTCAAGAGCTCCAGGGCTTGGTGCTGGTGCTGGCCCCGGTGAATCAGCGCCATCCCGGGCCGGAAGACTATGTCGCCAGCACCAGCCGATGCGTTGCCTTTGGGCAAGGCATACATTCCCGAGCCACCACTCTCGAAAAATCGGAGCGTGCCTCCTTCCCAAACAGATGGGCCCAGGCATAGATTGAGCGTGACCACTGATGCATCCCCATGCTTGGCAAGCTCGGTGTCACCGCCTGATTCGTATTTCACGGTAAACGCATAGTGCTCGTCTGCATCGTTGGCTCCCACCAGCTCAGGGAAAAGCATGGCACCAAGCGGGCGCACGTAGGCTGCCACCAGTCCCTCCAGCATTCGCTCGAAGCCCACCTGATCCAGAATCACTCCGTACCTGTTCATGCCGTTGGGTCTTCTGGTCGGGATGCCAGCGGCCTCGATGCTCTCAAGTTCCCCAAGGAAGTCTTGCCGAAACTCCGCAGTGAAAAGGCAGTCGCTCGCAAATACCCCCGGAATAATCTCTTCAAAGAGGCTCCATGCAGCCTCCTCACCCTTGGCTTCCCGTGCCTGCTGGGCAGCGTCGCGAAGCTTGGGATGAATGTACCGGTCTTCGAAGGCTGGGCCAAAGTCATGCAGCTCTGGGTGCGAAGGACTTCGCTCTTGCCAAGCTTTCTTAAGCAAATCCTCGTGCTCCTCCCAGAAGTCTCCTCCCTCGAACTCGCCATGCTTCTTCAGGGTCACCTTGGGCGCAACCAGCTGTCTTGCCGCCTCCAGTGCCGTGCGCGCGGAAGACTCGCCCTCAACTGCGCCAAGGGCCATGATCCACTTCCAGCACGAGAGCATCGTGCTCGAGCCGAGTGACTTGAGCATTTCTCTTGGTGTCTGTGCCCTGCAAACTGACACCCCAGAGAATCAACTGAGGATAAAAGGCTCTGAAACGAGAGGAGTACTTGGACACCCTGAAAACGCAATCAAGGAAAGAACCATTGAACCTATCCCAAACTCTGGCTGCTCTCTGAGTCTGTAAGCAGCTATCTTTTCTATGGCCTCTTGCCAAGAAGGCCTCCTTGCACACATCTGCTGATGCAGCCATTCTGCAAGAGCAGTATGACCTGACCCACTCGCACTGTCATCAAGTTTACTACAAACGTAATATAGGACTCAACCCGACACCGACAAACCTCTGCCATTGTTGGTAGCAAGCAACCTTTCTGACGAGCCCGGTCCACAGGCAACTCGCCGTCCCAGTCTTGCTCAAAGAGTTGCTCTTCTATGCTTTCAATGCCCAGCATCCACGTCATGAGCTTCACGCTGTGACCTTGCAAGGGCTGTGAATCGATTTGACTTAGGCTTGAATCAAGAATGACAGTAAAAATCCGGCCATGCTGATAGCATGGGTGACCAGGGCTGATCGGTGAAAGCCAGCTGCTAGCTCTTCCACCTTGCTCTTTCAACTTGCCAGCTTGCATCCCCTTGAACGACCTGGCACACCAAGCCTTTAAATTGACCAAAACTTGCCCGCCACCACTCGGCACACCTTGATCTGAAGCTCCCCGCCTCGCCATGCGGCCTTGTTCAGCACGCCATGCCCATTCCTGACCGAGCTTGGAGTGTTGCCATCGTGTTTGCCCGGAAGAATTTACATGCAGACAGACCGAGCGACAGACCGACCGACAGACGGAAACCTACAGACAGCCAGCCGCAGGCAGGCAGAGAAACAAAGAGACAGAGAGACAGAGAAACGGGGAGACGGAGAGACGGAGAGACTGTGTGAGAGAGTGGGTGGGTGGGTGGGTGGGTGAGTGAGTGTGTGTGTGTGTGTGGGCGTGTGAGAGCGTGTGTGAGAGTGTGTATGTGTCTGTAAATGTGTGTGTGAGGGTGTGTGTGTGTGTGTCTTTCGCCGGTGTGTGGCAAACAGTGGTTTAAAATACTTGGCATTCATCTACAAGTACCCGGGTTGCAAAGCAAAGCCTATAGCCGATGCTTGGTGTCGCCAGTCTCCCCCTTGCTGACGACGTCTTCGAAAGTGCTTTGTATCAATCATCATCAGAAAGTGCGCGTGTCTCACAAACGTGGTTCAAAACACTTAAAGTTGCATATAGCTCACTTAGATCGTTTGAACATCCACACATTTCCTTGTGGATTGACCATTCCTTTCAACCATGCGCGTGTCAAAGAATGTTCATTGTTCCGCTTTATGCCTCTTTCGGCCTTGCGTGGTTTGGGGGGCCACAATCGAAAGGTACGGTCATTCTCAAACCATTTGGTACAGGCAGAAGGCTCACCCGGAGATGTTCAATGAAGGGTACAGGTTGTCTTTGATGGAATCGCAGGACAATACCTTTCCCAAAAGCTTTGACGTCGTTTGTTAGCGCCGCTGATGTCATGAGACATGTCCCCTCCAAAAACTAGCTGTCGGGGCCAGCGACACTCTGGGATCAGCTGCAATTGCACTTCATCTATTATCAGCCTGAGACTACCAAGGTTTCTTGTCAAAGCAACAACAAGACAGAAGAGCCAACTTACAAGGCTACAGAAGTAGCAGACGCAGGTAAGCTTATTTGTCTGACCATTCAACAAGAGCAGCAATGTTTGCTGCCAGGCGCACCTCCACAAGCTCAGCCACTTCCGATGACTTTCTAACATACAAGTACTGCGCACTGAAAGACGCGGCATGAGCCTGATCGAAAGCTGGACAGCCAAAGCCTCATCTGACATGCACCGCAACACAAAACCTCGTGGACACTCATTGACTCATTCGACAGGGGCAGCGGCGGGTGCTGCCATAACTACCATCGGCTAATCATCAACAACGGGACGAACTGTCACCACCAACCTCTGGAACTACTGTAACTGTGTTTGAACTTGCCGGCAACGGCATGGCAACACATTGAACTCGTACAGTCAGAACGGTCCCCACTGGTCCCCATTAACTTCTCGCTTGTTTGTCTGCTGGCATATCCATCACACACGGAAACTGTAGCGCATTGGCAACCAAAAAAACGAGGTAGTAAGAGTGTAATAGTGTTGTGCGAAATGGCACAAAAGCGAAGGATTGAGGCCAATGCAATCAAGTCACTTGTTTGTGGATGCGAAGTCGGCTCGCTTCTCATGCAGCCACAGGCACATGTCATACGAGCCCGCAGTTGCCGCCCAAACTGCCACGTTGCATCCGGCGTTGCAGACCTAGATGAAGGCATGCACCAACCAAGCCATAAGCCATGGGCATGTATGCGTGTAGAAATGCAGCTCTCAGCTTTGGCTCAGCCACATCGCCATGCAAAAGTGCTGTGTCCCAGTCAAGCAGCTGCATTGATGTCGGCAGCCTGGTCCAAGAGGTAAGCCACAGCATCCAAGGAGCCACCCCATGCAGCCCAGTGCAGGCAGCAAATCCCAAGCTTGTTAGCAGCATGGATGTCAGCCTTGAAAGGTTTGACAATGAAGGACAAAGGATAGCAACAGAGTACAACTAAATAATCCTGCTCTGGGTGTGTATACAACAAAATTACGGAGGCTGTCGCATTGGCAGAAACAAACGTGGACAAAGGCCACAGTCAAGATTATTAGATTTATTGTCTCGTTTGGTGAGTATCCCGGTTTCCCCTGTTTCCTATTACCAACTTTAAGCGCATATCCATGTCAGCTCGAAATGATGGTGGATGTTGATTGTCGCATACTTGTCACATTGGCGACCCTGTAAGACCTAAAAACCGGGCCTTCCTCCTCACCAGCTCTTCGCATGCCTCGACGTGCCCGTTTCTGGCTGCCCACATCAGCGGCGTGCGGAGGTCCTTGTTTCGTGTGTCGACGCCAGCACCGAGCTCCAGCAGCAATCTGCAGATCTGCAGATCTCCGCGCCCTGCGGCGTAGTGCAAGGCGGTGAGCCCGTTCCTGTCGACCTCCGCGTCGGGGCTCATCTCCGAACACCGAGTCCGGATCACGTCCGCGCGGCTGTGCTGGGCGGCATGTAGCACAGAGCCCGGGTCGCGCGCGTCCACCACGAATTGCTTCAGATCCGGCCGGCCTGGGCCCAGGTATGGACGGCATGGTGTTGGCAATCTGCGCGTCTGCGCGGCAGCGGCGGCAGCAGCCACAAGCTTCAAAGACGGATGCGAGTCCAGGAAGGCAACAGCACCATCCTCTCCTGCCACTGCAAGACACGGCAAGATACTGCAATGTCTCAAAGGTGGCAGCTGGCATGAAAAGAACGAGATTTGACATGAAGTGAAATGAACGCATGTTCATGCCAATCCTGCAAGGCTAATGTGGAGCTGCAATTCAAGCGCATTGATGAAAGTTGTTGCGCTAAGCGAGTCCAGTCCACTGTCAAGCAGCGGCTCATCATCCTCCAATTCGCATCTAGCAAGATCTACCGCGATCTTTCGAACTGTCCGCAGATCCTGAGAGCCACTCTCTCGCACTGCGAAGCGCTCTGCAGGCCGCAGTGTGAAGGTCCCGTACCCATCGAAAGGCCAAGCGCTCTTCGCCGCGTCTGCGTACCACTCGCCGTGGTCACCCTGGAGCTTCGGAAGGCCCAGCTTCTCCCCCAGGCCCACGCGGAGCTTCTTCCCCGTGGCGGTGCGGGGCAGCTCCTTCAGCCAAACCACGCAGTCCGGCAACGCGGCCACCCGCAACTCCTGGGTGCGTCTTCCAAACATTCGGAGCCCGTCCAGGGACTGCTCGTTGCGTGCTTGAACGGCCAAACCGATGGCCTCCCCGCGCTTCTCACAAAGAGCGGCAAATGCAACACAATCCTCCACATCTGGATGCTGCAAGAAGACCTCCTCAATCTGCAAGGGCGAGAACTTCTCGCCTGCTTTGTTGATGACTTCTTTGCATCGGCCCGTCAAGATCAGGCCATTCTGCGAGACCGTTGCCAAATCACCGGTTTTCAGCCAGCCTTGCAGAAAGGCTTCTTGGTTTGGGTCGTGGCCCTCTCGCGCTTCATAGCCGCGAGTCACACAAGCGCCTCTCACACAAATCTCTCCGCTGATGTTCTCCGCAGGCTCCTCGAGGCCGTTTGTCGTGAGGAGTCGAATCTCAGGGCCTGCGGCAAATCCAAGCGAGCTGTGCGTGCTGGGTTTGTGCCTTTCTTTCTCCACTCCATGGCAACCTCCATGGGGCGTGGGCGATGCAATGGGCATTGACTCCGTCATGGCGTACGTTGGAAGCACTTCAGTACCCATCCGCTCCGATACTGAGGAGGCCAACATGGCCGGAAGGTGGGCCGAGCAGTTACGAATCAGTCTGAGCGCTGGAAAGGAATCCTCGTATCGCAGGTTTGTCAATATGGCGTGGTGCACTGTGGGGACAGCAGAGTAGAGTGAAATCTGGGGCTCAGCCTTCAATCGTCGAATTGCAGCTGAAGCATCAAATGTGCCCGACAAGCAAATTGACAATGCTCCTCCAATAGCCGGAACCAAAACGTTGACCGCCAGACCATGGATATGAAAAAGAGGCAAGCTATTCATCACAACGTCATCAGCTCCAATCTGCAAAGTCGACGCGATGCATAGAGCACCACTCAACAGGTTGGCATGTGATAATGCAACCAGCTTAGGTCGACGTGTTGTTCCGCTGGTGTGCAATGCCAGGCAAATATTGTCGCAGCTTTGAGGTATCAAGACTCCAGCATCTGAGGCATCAAAGCCTGGATCAACAGAGAACGAACAGTCGCCCGCTGTGATTGGGTCACGTCGGAGTCGTAGGATTGCCAAGCCCAAAGCTCTTGCAGACATCTCCGCAAGAGACAAAACCACTGGTGCCAATCCATCACCTAACCTGATGAAGCATAACGACAAAGGCCACGTTGACATGTCATGCTGTGACGGTGACTCGACCGATGCAATCCGATGCAGCCGGGCGGCACGATGGCCTTCGCGGGCAAATCCAGCAGCGCAAAGTCCAGTTCCTGGGCCAAGTCAAGGCGCCTTCAGCCAAATCCAGGGCTCAGAGTCACCTGGCTGTGGGTCAAAACCCAGTACCCCTGGTGAACATCAAAATAGGTGGCAAATGGATACTCGTCCACCCCAAAATGGGATCGCCAAAGGTTCTGCAACCCATGGCCACCTCAGCTTCCCGCCGTCTTGGTGAGCTGCGGGTCCAAAGGCCCGAGGCAAAGCCCACAGAGCGCGGTGCCCAAGAAAAGGCCGGCAGCCTGCGATTTCCGGCTGAGAAACGGATTTCTTGTGCAAGACACAGCTGGGCGTGTATTCTTGAGGGTACCTTGTTTTGTGGCGTTTTTTTCGGGAAACCAAAAGGGACCCGAAGAAAAAATATTTTCTCGGGGTCAACTTGGGGTCCCTAAACACAGACACCCCCAACTCTGCCTCTGGGCCATTGGGCAGCACAGAGGCAACTCTGTCGCCTGGACTTAAGCCAGCTTCTGCGAAGGCGCTGCGCAGCTCACGCACCAGTTCCTTGAACCTCGGGCAACTTGAAGTTCGATTCTCTTTCCTATCCGATTCCCATTCGACAGCAACCTTGTGGCCCATCTTGCTGAAGGATATGAGGTCCTAAGACTGAGCTCCTGTCCGGCTGTAGGCAAGGTGAGAGCGGCCGTCAGCTCCACCCAGCAGCGGTGAGTCCGGGAAGCGGTCGCGCAGATCTGCCCATGTCGAGCAGCGTCTCTCCCTAAGCCATGCCCAACGGCCGTTGACATTGATATGTCCATGCCCGCCTCAGAGCCGCATCCGCAAGAGACATGGCACCGCTCTTTCCGTCACGCGTTGTGACTCGCAAGCTTAACGTACATTAGGAACTCAGTCACCAAACTTGACTTTCATAGATGTGTATATATCATATCAAGCCTAATGGTCGACCATGGATGCTTCTGGCACGAGCAACGGTCAAAGTATACGAAAGGACATGGGGAAATGAGTGAGTGAGAAACCACGGAGTCACAATCTTGCAAGATCTAGCACAGTATACTGGATATTCTGCATGAACCTCGCGCGCCAAGATGTTGCGGCGGCAAGAAGGCGTGAACATCGCTTGCAACATGCCTTATAGGATTCATAGGCCAACAAGCACGCTGTGAGCTCAAGCACGTCACTCAGAGCTGTCTTTTTCCTGATAGGCAAGCACTACACAACCAATAGCTCTCCTTGAAGCGGCCAGCACGACATCTTGAACGGCAACTTGTGCATTGCCAGGCCACCTCACTGCAGTCAAATGCGAAACATCGACGCTGATTGGAGCCACAAGTGCCAGGCCGAAGAGAAGAAACAACAAAACATCCAAGCTTCTGGCCTCACTCACTTCATTCAGCAGTCCGACCTGAGCTTTGCATGGACAATGCCAGCTCCACGGGCGGCATGCACCTTGTAGTGCCTATCCACACATGGCCCTCGTGACAATGAACGCAATCTCAGCTCGCCACAGGCAACCAAATGGCACCATCTGCCAGGCTCAGCCTGTTGGGCTCAAATCCGAAAAGGTGCAGAATGAAGCCTTGGGCAATGAGCGCCCAGCAGCCGCTCTTCGTCGCGCAGCGCCGTGATCTTGCCCAAGACATGGCCATCGCCCAGCCACGCCACAGCCTGGAGATGGGATGCAAAGCTCGACCCCAGCGGTCGCAGGCGGAGCCTGGAGGCCAAGATGGAAGACCTCCTGTTGCAAAGTCGAAATCGCAAGAACCAAGATCACTGGGTTTGTGTCCTGCTCGGGGACTCGATTCGCTGAGGCAGAGCATATGCGGCTTTCAAAGCCAGCACCTCACTCAAGAACCCTCGGAAGGGGCTGTGTATCGATCAGTCCACGCGGCAGAAAAGGGAAAACCAGCTCAAGGAAGATGTTTAATGACTTCGGCCGGCCTTCACATTGCCGCCAAAGTATGAGGTTGCCTTGGAAAACGTCAGGGCGAGCGCTTCCACCCGAGCTGATGAATCAGCCTGCCTGACTTTGGACGACGTAAAACCTGGACAGTGGCTGTGAGCCGAGCCATGTCTGTACTGGGTCCCTGTCTTTTTAGGCAGGCAGCAGTTGCCAGGTAGGAAACGCTGCTTGAGCTTGCTTCGTCAGCCGCCTCCTGAGCATTTATTGCAAGTGAACTGCAAGTTGGGAGATGCTTGCTGACTGGGGGACAGGATTGCTTGCAGCTCTTGACAAAGCTGGTGCATATTTCAATTTGTTCCCAAGGTCCTCAACCATCACATCGTCCCCCGGCATGAACTCGCTTTCCTCCTGATTTCAGAGTGCGCTTCCAAGCAACATCGAAGCCCTGCGCAACTCAGTCATGGCAGCCTCCAAATTGCAATCGTCATCTTCCAAGCCAGTGGATAGTTGCGAGGCCCAGCCATGCCGCATGCCTGCCCAAGCAACGCATCAGGCATTCAAGCGAAGAAAACGGCACTGGGCACTGGGCACGCCTTGCAGGCCATCTCTGCACCTTCACAGCTTGTGCCCAATCCACAAATGACACCGTAATGACACCCCTCCCAAGCCCACGACTCGCACACATCCGGCTAAGCGGTCCAAGCTCAAGCAGTCCGAGAGAACTTGCCTCTTCAACGCCAGGGCGTACATCCTGTGCCACCTCCGATTGGCGCGCTCAGAGTGCGCATCAAGCAAGCATGCCCTGGCAAGGCCCCGACTCCGCGTGAAAGAAAGCACACCTTGCCTGCAACTCGCAAATCCAGCCATGAGGAATTGCCAAGGGCTACGAGTTGTGCGAGTCAGGCATGGCTTGCATGGCTGCGCCTTCGCCCGTCTTTGAGCATCAGGTGGAAGACTCGTGAGGGAATCCCTGGTGAGATGATTGACACTTGTGAGTCACCAGGTATCTGGAGAACAAAGGCCTCGAGTATTCACTGGCAAGCAGCGGCAGGTCCTGTGCACAGGAGACAATCACTCTTCCAGACCCAAACAGAGAGTGCAGCTGCGTCCTCATCAGGCTCCGTGTCCCAAGCCTTGGTTTTCCCGGAGAAGTGCGCCACCGCAATGCTGGCCGCCTTGACAGTGTCTCGAGGAAATGGAGCGCAGCATGGAACCCACCCGGTGCCATTCCAGCCTCTGCCGCTTGCCAAAGGCTGGTGAGGGGAACTCCACTGTGAAGCTGCACCTGCAGTGAGCTGGCTTCTACGTGGCACTGATGACAGGCTTGCAAGGCCTCGAAGTTGTAAAGCTGGCTCACGTGCGTCCACTCCCCGCACATCACGTCTGACCTTGAAGACAGGCAGACTGAATCCGTCCTTGGCATGTGAAAGGTCCCGACAAGTACCGCTGCTCTGGGGACCTGAGACCGCTTGAGTGCTCAGTGACACAAACTCCGACTCCGAGCCCACCACCATGCAGAGACATGCCAATTCGGATCCGGCTCAGCCACCTCAGGCGGCCGACTCAACGATGGCTCGACTCAACCAAATCAATATTTAGTTTATCCAAAAATAAATTACACCAGCATAGACCCCAAATAGCGAAACCCGTGCCAACGATTGCACGGCAGCACCTCTAACAGCACTGCACCAAGAGCACCTCAACCAACACCCCAAACAGCAAAGACCCCCGTGATATCAACCGCAAAAGCGCGCCACTCCGAACAGCACCCCCAAACAGCACCCCCAGAGCACCCGACCGTCAATCTCGCAAAAATGCGCCCGCACCATCACCAGCACCTCAAACAGCACCCCAAGCAGCATCCCAAAACAGCACCTGTCACCTGTGCCAGCACCCCAGACTGCCCCCTGGCACCCTACCGTCAATCTCGTCACCTGCATGCCCCCTAGCACTCGGCCGTCAATCTCGTAAAAACGTGCCCGCATCATCACCAGCAGTTCAATCAGCAGCCCAAACAGCACCCCAAACAGCACCTACACAAGCACCCCAAACTGCACGCCCCCCAGCATCCAGCTGTCAATCTCGCAAATAACTTTCCCTTCTTTATTAGAAGTTTGAACTTTTATAGCTTTCAGCCATCTGGGGAAAAATCGGCAAACATATAATTAAATCAATCAATAAATCAATGAATAAATAACTTGCGCTCCCCTCTGCTATTTGCCTCCCACCCGCTCCCATCGCTACCAACACGCCCAGCTGGGACCGGGCACATCAGCCACCAGGAGACGGAACAAATCTTTGGACGGAGCAATCACCTGCCACCGGAAGCCGGCAAATTGGGCCCGCCAAAAAACTTGCACGGGCAGGCCATCGTTCCGGCATTGACATAGCATCTCCTGGCGGCAGGATGCTGCAGGTATCTGCAGGTGCCATCTGGATTGCTTGTGCTTCATAACGTGTCGAACCAGGATTGACACTGTCAATCTGCACTCTCTGTTTCTGAACACCATCATCTGTTCTTCAAAGCACCAAACGTTCTTCCTGCCCCATGAACATCCATGTAGACTGAAAGAAGCAAAGCCATGGGGCATGAAAGCACGAGTCAAGAGTCTTCACGCCTGGGGTGCAGGCGCTGCCCATGGTCAGGCTGCTCCGCGAACCCGCTGGACTTGAACTGGCACACTCTCTCGCCCGTGTCCGTTTCTTGCCCCAAGCGAGTCCAAGCGAGTTCAAGGAATTCAAGGTATTCAAGCTCCGTGTGCGCTTAATTTCCCCCATTTCCTGCCCCTCGCTTCCCGTGCAACTGGCCAAGAGAAATTGCTCACACGCACAAATTCAGTCACGCGTGCTGTGCTCATGCCCGCGGGCGGGCGAAGCTCGAAAAGCTCGTCAATGTTTCGCCTGTGGCAGAAGATTCCAAAGGAACAAACGAACAAGGGCAGCCGAACAGCGTTGACAAATGTAAGGGCCCCAGCAAGACAATCATGTCTAAGTCCAGAAATACAACCTCAGGTCTAAAGATGAGCACCTTTGCCCACTTTGTCAGGCACAGCAACCTGGCCTTGTCAAATGGAAGAACCTCTGGATTGAAAACCTCAAAAGTCAACTTCCATGACTGAAACACACAGAAAGAGGGGGACTCTCTGCACAAGCGCTACAAGTAAGGGCAGCGCGTGAAGCTTGGTAAACACGTCCTTGAAGCGCGCTTTGTCGCTTGTATGCAGGTCTCCAGCAGAAAGCACATAGGGTACCTGGACAAAAAGAGACTAGAAAAATGTCCATTCTCTCCGCCTCGGAAACCAAATGCAGGTGATCTTCAGAATCGTGCTTTTGGTCCAACTATGAAGTACCAAACGCCCCTCTGAAAGAAATGGATAATGTTCATGGCCATACATGCAATTGCTTCTGAACCCGAGCTCTAAATATTAATCTCAAGCGCTCGCCTCCTGCAACTTCCACAATTCCTGAAGTAGCTGCAAGGCCTCGCCGACTGGATTGAAATGGGAAAAGCTTGGTGGATTCTTGTGCCAATAGTACCCCTCATTTTTTACAGCCCATCAATCAAGATCCTCTGGCGGATCTGAAAACAGGGACGTCGTTTGGGATCCCGGTGGACCACAAAAGGGCCGGGCGCGCCTCCTCCGGCACGTCGTGAGTATGCAGAAGCACTCTGTCATGCTCAGTGCCGGTGGCCTGCAGCACTCTGATTTGGCCATGGGTCAAAATCCCGTACCCCCAGTGAACATCCCAATCCCCACTAAAATAGACTAAAATGGGTGGTGCACCTACCCCAAATGGTACCATTGGTTTTGACCCACAGCCATTTTCCTGAAATTTGAACTGTTGGATCAGCCCACAGACCGGCCTGCAGGCTCAAACCGAGTGCCAGTGCTCCGGCTACATACCTGCGCCGGAGTGCTGTGTCTACAGAGGCTCGGCGACCCAGAAATGAAAAAGATGTGGGCTGCGATGAGAAATGCTGGGCACTTCCTCTTGGTCCCGTAGATTAAGCTGGTATAGGCCTCAGTTGCCAGCTCAGCAAGCAATCAAAACACGGGAAACTGTGAGGTGTCATGGATGATCTTGGGATCCAACTACTTTCTTCTTCGAGTGCGGCTCCTGCACATTCCAGGACCAAACTGAACAAAAAGGCACTAGAAAAAAATCGTCCTCTCTACATCGTCTGCACAGGTGCTTGGCTGTCGGCTGGCCTGCTGTTTAAACTCTTGACGTGTCCAATCCAACAGAGCACAGGCCTTTGGGGCCAGCACCATGTGAATCAAATGCGCCGCATTGGCAAGCAAAGGCTGTAATGACCTCACGCTGCAAGCGCTGCAAGCACTGCAAAAAGGCAAAGCTCATCCAAAAGGCACCCACTGAGGACACTGCGGCTCTCAGCGGATTCGATTGTGCATCAGGTCGAAAGACATGCTGTGGCATGAACCCTCAGTGAGATTGGTGGCGAGAAAACCTGCATTACATGGTATTGGCGTTGTACAATCAAGCATGCCACTTGTACAACCAAGCATGCAACATGGCATGCCTTACAGCTCATGTGCTGCTGTTCGTGGCCATGGAGACTTGAGCCTAGCCTGCGAGCAGAAGGTAGATGGCAAATAGTTGTTGTCCATTGCACGCATTGATTGCCACCATCAATACTATGGTCAAAAACCTCCTTGTATGAACAATGATCATGGTCTCCTTGATAAGGAGTATTACAATGATTGTAAGCAATCCTTCCTGAGGAAAATGGTAGCATGGCAAACATGTCATCATGACACGTGTCTTGAACTGACAGGCTTGCAGGCGCGCGACAGAAAAGAAAAAAGGAAGAAACAAAAGTGGGAAGTCGCATAAGTCGGAACAGACCTCGCAATTTTCAGTGGGCCTAAAACACAGGGCACTTGAGTTCTTTTCCCCGCTTTCCCAGGCGCGACGGCCAGGCTGCAAAGAGCCTGCCTTGCTATCCGCGAGCCCAGGCCAAAGCAGTCCTCCAGAAGCCGAGGTTTGAAAGACTCACCTCCGAAGCTCGGGCCCGGTCCAAGCTGCCAAGGATCTGCCTGAAAGGACTTGAGAACGCTTGAGACACGCGAGCGCCCAAAACCACTGACTTCGGGATCTAACCAAGATGCTCACATAAGCCATGTGGACCTTACTATAACTACAAACACCTAGGGGAAAGCTCACATGGCCTCCCCGGCTCAGCTGCAATCTGTTCCAATGGGAGGGGCACCTCCACGTCGTGAGCCAAACGCCAGGCCTGGGAGCTTCTTGCCGCAGCGCCCTGGCGCTGCTGAGCACTGGCCTGCATCCGATCATGAAGCATCGTGCAGCCTGCAATTGTTCAAACGGAGGCGACGAATAAGAAACAAGCGGTTGGAAGAAGAATTGAGTATTGACTCTAGAAACTTCAGCAAATGGCAGGTGCCTCAGCAAGCGGCAGGAGAGAAGTGGCCATTCAGCCAACGCTGTGCTCAGGAGGCCAGAGATGGCATCCAGGACCCGCACTACTGGATGAGTCTCCTGAAGAACGAGTCACTAATTACCACAGGGGGCAAGGGCTTTGCCCTAAGCATCTCAATGATTTGAGCGGGCACTGTCACCAAAAACGCAAAAAAGAAGGGGAAGTGCCTCAGCCGTTGCTGCCCAGCTAGCAGGGCTCCGCAGCAGCTTCCAAGCACCCCTTCGAAGCCTCGGCTGTGAGACGCGCAAGAGGTCGCGGTGTGACGCCCAAGTGGATGCCCACGTGCCCCAGCCAAACTTATTGAGAAGAAAGTTTGGATATGAATTGCAGTCCGCGGTCATCCTGGAAACTGGGAATGTTTGCGAGCGGACCTGCTTTCAGCACAAAGCCAGCTGCAACCTGGTGGCAAAGGCACCAGTCCAAGAACCAGAGAATATGCAGCTCCGGACCTGAAACGGTTGCACATCACTCCGCACGCTGAGCAGCACTGGCTGTCTTGCGCTGCCTCTGGCATGCTTCCACGATGATGCGCCTGGGCAACGAAGCGGAGGTGTCGCATGCGAAGGTGTCGCTGGGCTCGCACAAAATACGCGGCAGTTCGGACACAACATGCAGCCACGTGACAGGCCGGTGGCTGCTGGCTTCTTCCAGGAATGCGCGAGCGCAATTCCAAGCTGCCAGCGCCTGCCATGCCACATCTGGGGTGGGAGGCATGCATGAGCCTGCCTGGACAGGCCAGAAGCAATGGTGTTGAAGGTGACGAAATCAAGCGGATGACCTGCACCTGCGGTAGTCGGATCCAGCAGCAGAAAAGGGAAAGCTGCAAGTAGCAGGGGCCCCTGCGCATTTGGGAAAGCAGCCCTATCGTCTCCTACACAGGACTCTGCTTGACTCTGGTAGCCACCACGACCTGGCCACGGTCTCCTCCCATCGAGCTGTTCGTGCCAAGGCGGCCAATGCTGAGTTGTAGGAGACCTGGGTTGGCACACTGCAGCAAGGCACAGCTGGTACATACGCAACTCGTCTAGCTCCTTCAGTGCCGTGGGGCCCTGACCGCACTGGTCTGCAGAGACATGGCCTCTGCCTGACACAGCAACCCGAGGGCCGCTGCCCACTGCGAGCCTGCACTGGGCTTGGCGAAAACTCGGGTATCAACGTGGCGATTGGCGGCAAAGTGACGCGTATGTTTCAATGTCCTCGAATGCAGCCGCTGATCACTGCGTTGAATGATCTGATGTCCGCCTGCAGTGGCCAGTGCGCTTGCGTGTGTGGGCGTCAAGTACTGAATCAAGCGCCAGTGCAAATTGCCTGATTCCAAGACGAGGGCAAAGGGGGACACCCTGTACAAACAAGGTTCATGGCTTATATTCCTCGGTAAGTCAAGAAGCACTTCAGCACATTCAGTGATCACTTTAAGCACTGAACTCCACTAAATGTAGCTTCCAAGCAGCTGCTCTCGGTCCGTCAAAATGACTCCAAAGCAAAGATTCCAAAGCGGCTTCGGGAGAACTGTTGGCTGTCAGGTTCTCTCGCCAAACCGAGTCACTCAGTCAAGGATAAACTTGGTGTCCTCCCGGTGCAAAGCCTGTTGTCTAGTCTCACCAAAATGGGCTCGGCAAAAGCCGATCCACCAAATCGGCACTTTCTAAGGAGGGCTATCGGCATGCCCACTTTTTCTGGTGTGTCTGTGTTGAATGTCGAAGGGTGCGCTAGCCCTTCCACACCGGAATATTCACGCAGCTCCAGCTCAAAGAGGCAACTTGTGGCGAGCAAAAGAGCGCCTGCTCCAACTTCGTGGAGAGGAGGAACAAGGCGCGGTGCCACTGGAGGCCTTCGGTTGAATTTGTTGCGGATCAAGCAACGGCAACAAACGACAAACGGCTCAACGGCTCCGGTTCCTGATCTACTTTGGAGGAATGCAAAGCAAGGCACGGACTTTGGAAGTTGCTTAGATGCGCTTTCCCGCGCACGCGCATAGGGAAGCTTTAATTGCCACTATCTCAATACTCGGCCTGGTGGCATGCTTGCTTGCTGCCTAAGTGCACGTGCGAGTGCGTGCGTTTATGTGCGCATGTGCATGTGCGTGTGCGTGCCAGAGAGCACGCACGTGCGCATGCTGTGCCCATGCTTGTTTGTGCGTTGGGCGTGCAATGTATGCACGGATGTGTCGTCCGCGTGTGTGGTGTGTGTGTGCTGTGTGTGTGTGTGCTGTGTGTGTGTTGTGTGTGTGTGTTGTGTGTGTGTTGTGTGTGTTGTGTTGTGTTGTGTTGTGTTGTGTTGTGTTGTGTTGTGTTGTGTTGTGTTGTGTTGTGTTGTGTTGTGTTGTGTTGTGTTGTGTTGTGTTGTGTTGTGTTGTGTTGTGTTGTGTTGTGTTGTGTTGTGTTGTGTTGTGTTGTGCTGTGCTGTGCTGTGTTGTGCTGTGCTGTGCTGTGTTGTGTTGTGTTGTGTTGTGTTGTGTTGTGTTGTGTGTGTGTGTGGGTGGGTGGGTGGGTGGGTGCGTGGGTGCGTGGGTGCGTGGGTACGTGGGTGCGTGGGTGCGTGGGTGCGTGGGTGCGTGGGTGCGTGGGTGCGTGGGTGCGTGGGTGCGTGGGTGCGTGGGTGCGTGGGTGCGTGCGTGGGTGCGTGGGTGCGTGCGTGGGTGCGTGGGTGCGTGGGTGCGTGGGTGCGTGGGTGCGTGGGTGCGTGTGCGTGCGTGCGTGCGTGCGTGCGTGCGTGCGTGCGTGCGTGCGTGCGTGCGTGCGTGCGTGCGTGCGTGCGTGCGTGCGTGCGTGCGTGCGTGCGTGCGTGCGTGCGTGTGTGTGTGTGTGTGTGTGTTGGCGGTTGTGCGCGCTTGTGCGTTTGTGCGTTTGCGATTGGGTTTGTGTTTGTGTGATTGCGCGTGTGTATGTGTGTTGTGTGTGTGTGTTGTGTGTGTGTGCTGCTTGTGTGTGTGCTGCGTGTGTGTCTATGTTGTGTGTGTGTGTTGTGTGTGTGTTGTGTGTGTGTTGCGTGTGTGTGTGTGTTGTGTGTGGGTGTTGCGCGC